AAAGAGCATATTTGTCCTTACTCTGTTGGTGGCCCTTCCTCCACCCCAATAACTCAGTGTGATTCTAGTCAATGTGGGTGTCTGTTAGCTGTTATAACAGAATTGGCAGTTAGTGTTCTCCTATTAGCATGTTGAACTGTGATGCACTAGGAGCATTTTGAAAAGATGCAGTTCCACTTCATATGATTTGGGGGAAGCGTGTGTATAGGTGTCAAACTTTAGAGACAGCAAACCTTATATTCACCTCCTGCAAGCTGTATATCAACAGCAAAGTGAGTCACTGATTCCCGCATAATTCTAGCATTAAAATATTTTCATTTGCAACAACAGCATTTTATTGAGTTTTGATTTTCTTTACTGTGATATATTTCTCTGATAAGCATACTAATGATTTCATGCAGAATCAGAAAATTTATTTTTGCTTTATTTCACAGCTGAACTGCTAAACAGTCTCTCTCACTGTTAAATAGACATACAAACATAATCAAATGGAGACTGAGAACAAATGCAGCTTTGCTAATGCATTTTTAAGTAAGTTACAGTCCAGACACAGCAGCTTTAATGTTTTTTTTTTCTACAATCTGATCGAGTGATGACATTATTATAGCACAACACTTTAAATTCAGGTGAGTGATACTCTGATGTGTTGCCCCATTTCGCACATCAAGCAATATTTTTTTTTTTTATCCAGGTCCAGCGAATCACACATACAGTTTATGCACAAAAGTATTGGGACACCTACACATTACACCTACAGGAGCTTTTATGACATCCCATTCTAAATCCATTGGCATTAATATGGAGTTGGTCCCCCTTTGCAGCTACAACAGCTGCCACTCTTCTGGTAAGGCTTTCTACAATATTTTGGAGTGTCTGTGGGAATTTTTGCCCATTTATGCAGAAGAGCATTGGTGAGGTCAGACACCGATGTTGGACGAGAGGGCCTGGCTCGCAATCTCTGTTCTAGTTCATCCCAAAGGTGTTTGAGGGTTGAGGTCAGGGCTCTTCGTGGGCCAGTCAAGTTCTTCCACACCAAACTCACCCAGCCAGGCCTTTATGGACCTTGCTTTGCACACTGGGGCTCAGTCATTCTGGAACAGAAAAGGGCCTTCCCCAAACTGTTCCCACAAAGTTGGAAGCATACAATTGCCCAAAATGTCTTGGTGTGCTGAAGCATTAAGATTATCCTTGACTGGAACTTGGGGGTCTTGGCCAACCCCTGAAATACAACCCCATAGGATTATCCCTCCTCCACCAAACTTTCCAGTTGGCACAATGCAGTCAGGCAGGTAACATTCTCCTGGCATTCACCAAACCCAGACTCATCCATCAGAATGCCAGACAGAAAAGCGCGATTCATCACTCTACAGAATACATTTCCCCTGCTACAGAGTCCAGTGGCAACATGCTTTACACCACTCCATCCGACGCTTGGCATTCAGGCGTTTTATTCAGTGCCATTGCCACAGGTGAATAAAATTAAGCACCTAGCCTTGCAGTCTGCCTTTATAAACATCTGTGAAAGAATGGGTCCTTCTAAAGAGCTCACTGAATTGGATGCCACCGTTGCAACATATAGCATACATACCAGTCACCCACAGTCTGATCAGATGACTTTTTAGGCTACACTCAGAAAAAACACAGGCACTCAAAAAACTGGCACTTGTACATATTAAAAAACAACCTAAGCTGATATTAATTGAGCTGACCATTTTTATGATGTACTTAAATTTATTAAAAAATAAATTATCCCTGTGTTAAATCAGCCATTGTCAATCAAGTCAAATAAAAGAGGATGAATTCAGTTTTTCCAAGTTTCATGGGATTTTCAACTGATATTATGAGATGCATATACAAATAAATTATGTCTGTTATACTTTACTTATTTGCATATTGGGTGTGTCTTTCACCTTGTTCTATTTATCGTGTATGTGTTGTCTTTCCTTCAAGCATATCTTCTTCTTCTGGTATATTTGCATTGTATATTTTTGGTTAATCGTCTAGCCTTCTTATTGTTAGTGTGGTTCCAAACTGTCTGGACTCTATACTTACAGCCAATTTAAGTAAATTATCTTGGATCAACAAAACTGGCTAATTTTGAAAGAAAGCCATTTAACTATGTGGAAATATTTTCAATAACTAATTAAGGTTCAGATAAAGAATGATTTTTCAATGTGGTAAATTAAAAAAAAAGTGAAAAACCAATCAGCATGACAGAATCATTGAACTAGATTTTCTGTATCGCAGTCTCATACATTGTATGGTTTGACTATGTGTGGGCTAGTTTTCACCCTTTCAGTGTATCACAGGGGGAGCCCTAGCTAGCAGGCAGAAATTGGCCATGACTAATTTGGGAAGAAAACTGGAACTGGGTAGCACTCACCACACATACACCCCCCACTTCCATTAAAAAAGCAGTCTATCTAGTGCCAAACACAAAAACACCAACAGAAAGATAAAAACATCTCTTTTTATTAGACCGGCTTCACTTGTCATTCAACACAGTACAAAAGGTAGTAGTCATTTTACAGCTTTACAGTGTGCTGCAATACACAAAAACAAATCAAAATGACTTCAATAAAAATATATGGGTTACAGAGACAATAATAAATCACTAATACACAACTTTAATAAAGACACAGCATATGGTAAACATAATCCACTCTCCTTTACCTGTGAGCAAGTGACAAACAGGTGATCGGCTCTGTCAGTCAGTCTGTCTGCAGCAGCAGTGGGCTGCAGCTCAGAAAGTGAAACAGAAAGCATTAGCTCAATCCAATCACAACAAGTGAGCAGGAGCAGAAATCAAGGGATCAATCAAGCACCTTTTAATGAAATATCTGAGAGGCTATGCTCTTGAGGGGACTGTGATAGTAACATACACAATTACACACATCAAATCACTGAGAACTGTTTATTTCTCGGAGGCACAAGGCTGGTAAGATTAGCAACAGTTTGGGGTGTAAACCTGACCTCACAGCAATTTTATAAAAAGAAACAATACAATGCATCATACAATGTCACATTTGACCACCATTTGATTTGATCATTTTGGTATGATTCAGAATTCTTTTGAACAATACACTGAATACATAAATGTGACTACACAAGAGTGGAATATAGAATACAAAATATAGACTATAACAATAATATTTTCAAATTTGAAAATTTAGAAAATGTCTTAAATCAACGCAATTAAATCACTTTCAGATCGATGCATCACAATGCATATTTACACTCCTAGCTTCACTGAGATACATGTAATGTTAAAGAGACAAAGTCTATGTAATACTGTGGGAACATATATGTGCATATGGGGCAGACAGAGAAGACAAGGAAGAGTAACAGGCGAGGAAGAAGGTGGAGAGAGAAAGAGTAAGAGTGGGAGAGGGAGAGAGAGCTGATCAGCCATGTGTTTATCAGTGCATTAATATGTATGGAGGTGCAGAGTAGCTGATGAAGGTACTGCAGAGCAGAGCCACTGTGTGCTGAGCTAGACAACTAACACACATGCAGACGAGCAGGAGATATACTCAACTCAGAGACTGTCTACAGAAACTGCAGCTGCTCTGAAAAACTGGATTAGGCTTTAGAAAGGTTTTATTGTTGAGAATCAATATTTGTGCCCCAGTGCCTTGCCTCGGAACAAGCTCCTCATCTCCAGCTTGAAGTCTCTGAATTACACCCATTCATTAGAACACTGGGAGGTGGGGACAGGGTAGAAATCCTACAGTAGGGCTGCACGATATGAACAAAATACCATATTTCCATAATATTTACAATATTATATTGATATGGATTGCAATTGTGGTTACTCTTGCAATATATTAAAGGGCCCACATAATGGAATACTGTTTTATTTTGTTTTGTTTTTTTTAGAGTTTTGTATTATGTGCGTATCACTAGTTTCAAAACATACCATTCACTCCTATACATGGAAATCAAGCTGCAATTAACAACCCATTTAGAATTCACCATTTTTGTGAAGTCACAAAACATATTTACATGTACCTACCTCTTTAACCTACAGCAGTTTTGCTTCCCCCATTCATGTTGAAGTCATTAGAAGTGGACTGCCTGGATTATATATATGGCGAACATTAAGTGTAACATATTTAAAGATTGGGTTGCATTATTTTGACTCAAATTATTTATCAAATTACCCACAGAGACTTATCTGGAACATCCAGGTTGTGAGGATTCATAACTGTTACAGGGTTCTTTGCATATTGCAGTCCTCTCAGATATTGATATGGCAAAGACCATAATGACTAGGAAATAATATACTGTGCATGTACAGTACTGTGCAAAAGACCACTCGTCAAATATTTAATTTCCAGCAAAACTGTCATTATGTACAAGTTATTCATTTTTCAGAATCAAGAAAAAAGCAGGGTACATATATTTAAAGAGCTAAATATTAAATTAAGTTTTCAGTATTGAGTGTGTCCACACTTTGTCTTTATTACAGCTTCCATTCTTTTTGGGAGGCTCACTTTAAGCATTTTAAACAAATCTGTTTCAAACAAATCTGTATTTCAAACTCAGTAAAGATCTCTTTCCGCCTCCAAAGTTGAGTCTTCTGAGTTGGTTCAGTTTTTTGTTTCTCATGATCAAAGTCCTCCAAAACACATTCTATGATGCTGAGGCCTGGACTCTGGGGTGGCCAGTCCATTGTTCTAAGAACACTAGCTTCTTTGTTTGATTTCCTTTTTCCAGTTTTTCAAAGTGGAAAAACAGGCAGAAACACCTGTGTATTTTTTTTTTCAGATTTGAAGGAGGAATGGGGCTTGATTTTCCTCTGAAAGATGAAAGCTTTAAATACTGTTCTGGTCTACCAGATCTTGCACGGTTGTTAGGAGTCCCATTTTCTCTCTATCTGTTAATCATTTTTTGAACATTCGTTTCCTGTTCTAGAAATAAATGTTTTTTCCCTTTTTAATTTTCCCCCTCCTTATAGAAGTGGATTATCTTACATCTAATCACCTCAGAAATATTGGCAAAAAAATGAAAAACTTGCACATAACTTGTACATTTTGACTAGAAATTAAACAAACCAAGGGTGATCTCTGACTTGGCTGCAGCAACCTACACTTGTGCTCGAAACACCAAACCAAGCACAGTTCAAACTAGATAGCAGCCCTGGATCAGTAGACTTCTGTCGTAGTCATGTAGTGCTCACAGCTCTCATCGGCCAAACTGCCACAGGGCAACATGCTCTGGACCTGCATGTAGACACATACATTCAAACATGTGCAAACACACACCCACACGAAGAAAGACTTAATCTTCAAACAGAAGATCACTCAGTGATACAAAGAACATAAGTAAAAGGAACTATGTGATGATTTACTTGAGAAATAAACTGTGTCACAAATCCTCTTTAATCCACAGAGTGCTACCGTGTGTGAATTAAAGGAAATGAATTTTTGGAAGAAAATGAAAGCACAAAATAACAGATGTCCTCTAAAAAATAACATAACATTAGGGCTTTCTCACACTTCAGTGCATGCTGCTGTTCTTAGCAACACTCTGTTCTGTAATTGGCATCTCAACAGCTCTATAAAAGCAACTGACTTATCAGTGTAGTGATAGTCAGTGGCCTTCAAAGAGCAGGGAAGAGCAGTATGGTACACATGATTCTCTGAAGCACTCCTGTCTAGACTCAGCTGCTCTATATGACCGCGAGTGCCCTCTTCTAGGCTCCTTGTTTACCACTTATCACTTTAATGCCAATTAACAGCGTGTGTAAATGCAGCTCCTCCGTCAGCCTGGCAGGGGGTGGATACAGACAGACCGAAAGCAATTAATCCCAGTCAGACTTTTTTCTTCCCACAATTTGTTGCTCCATTGAATTCACTCGAAGAAAGTTTGATTCTCAGTATGTGTGTCCCTGTGTGCATTTTCCAGGTGCGTGTGCCCTCAACGCTCCACTCGCCCCAGACGATCGTTTTCTGTCGATCAGGTCTTTTAAGATTAAGAGCTTTCAAACAACATGTTGTTAAAGTGTCACCGTGGCAACAATGACTGCATTAAGTCACCCTCATTAATCAATAAGCACTGCACAAAAACAAAGCAAAACAAAACAGATCAAAACCAAACAAGATAAAAGCCACTTTGGTTCTAATCGCAGCACACTCAAAGTTCCTGCACCCCTGGGAGGCTATTCAAACAATGGCCAGCAGCACCAAGGGAGGGGCATGTATTGATCTCAAAAAAGCCCTTTATGATGAATGCCACAGAGTCCTGCTGAGCATCATTAAGATGCTACAGTGGTTCAGTTGATGTTTTCACTCATAAACCCGAGGACTCATAAAGGGGAGAGCAGAAGAGCAGCTAAAACGCTGCCTGAGTTTATGTGCTGTCTTTGGTTTTATACCCTCCACTTCGGCACCTCTGAACAAGCCACTAAGGACTGTCTGGAGCATCTGCCTCAGGGCTAGCACTGCATTTACCCCTCTAGTTGTCGGAAGCAATGTGCTGCTATCCTCTTCAGCATCATTTGGTTGTCATAGTGAAGTTATCTATGCGGTTCTGATCTATTGACGTGAGAGGGATTGAACAGTCAGATCCTTCCAGGCTGATATTTGTTAAAGCCTGGGATCATTTTCAATGTGATCAGAATAGTAATGCAATTCACTTGTAGCTGCCTCTAAAATGGACATTGCACTAAAGAAACGTTAATGAATGATGGACTATGAATCAATGTTATGCATTAAAAAATTAGCTACCGAATTCACTATAATGATTTAGTTTAGTGATGGACAACAAATTAATGTTATGAATCACTATTATGCCCTAAAAAAACTAGCTACCAAATACTACTAATAAATAGTGACAAAGGTATTTATTATCAGTGAAGCTCACTGATGACATTGTTGTTACTCACCAAACTGGCAGATGTATCTGTTGCGAGTCTTACAGCGTTGGTCATTCCAGTTGAAGGCACTGGCTGCTTGCAGTTCTACACAGTTCCCAAAGCTAAAGTCAGAGAGTGAAAAGAGGGACACCCAATGGTCAAACACAAACACTACAGTTCCCTGCCATCATCAGCCTGTGAACAAATAGTCCAGTTCTGATATTCAGTTTAGTTGCTTCTACACATTTTATAGTACTGCACTTTCTCACCCCTGATTGTCTGGCTGTCCAAAAGCAAAGCTGGTAAAAGATGGGATCTCCCCTGTGTCCCAGCGAAATAAGTCTTTCAGTGGTTTATTTGTCAAACCTGTTTTCATAAAAATAGAAAAAGGTTTATTCATTTTGTGCTTTGAGCTCAACTTTAGATGAGGAAATATTAAAGGATGTTTTACAGAGCCTGCAAAAGGTTGTGGCAAAAAGGGGAAATGCTTTTGTATTCAGTCACCATACTTGAATGTTTGTGTATATCAATTTTCTCAAAGATATACTTTATCAGGTCAACGTCTGTCTGAGAAGTCAACCCAAAATCAAAATAGCCTTTCTTTACCTTATTAGTTCATGTGGCTGATCATATAAGCCACTCATCACACCATACTATTTAAAAGATGAAATTTTGTCTTCCTGTAATCTTCTATTAAAATGTAAAGTTTTTTGCCGACCTCTAAAAAGTCTTCAATAACACTTCACTGTACAGTAGTGTTTATAAGCCTTCATATAGACATTACATACATATACATGTAGACATTAAGACATAATATAAATAATATAGACATAATTAGAACATTCTTACTGAGGTGAAATGACATAAAAATGGACCAAAGTAGCCTTTGTGACAATATATGCTTGTTGGAAAAAGCCTTTATAAATGTTTATGTAGGTTTATTGTGAAAAGTTTATGTAGGTGTTGTGCAGCCTTAAGAATGCTGTCCTTCAGTAGACTGTTACCAGGTCTTCTGGTTTTAGGCTATGTCACCATGCACCAATAGACAGGGGAAACAATGTTAACCATCAAAAAAATAATAATCATATCATAATAGTAACAGAATGTTTCTCCTCCCTGTAGCCCCATCATTGAGCGAGACCCTCCCTGATGTCGTGTTTCTCTCTGAAACACATTATGGTATCGAAAGAAAATGCATAATGATTTCTGATTTATGTTGACTATATTGTTAGTGAAGGAAAGTAAACAGTTTTTGCAAGACAATAAAAAAGATTTCTTGTAAATGCTAAAGTTTTGCAAGGGAACGCAAGAGTGTTTCGCTCAATTTTTGCTAAATTTTTTCTTTCAGGCTCCATGACATCAAGAAGATCAACAGCTACACAAACAGAGATGACAACGACAATAAATGCTTGATATGGATATCACACAGTATTAAAATGCACTTTGCCACATTGTTAGAATGAAGCGTCCTCACCTATCCAGAAATTGCGGGTTTCAAAGTCAGGGTCAGTCACCTCGTTGGTGTTCTCCAGCTGGCTGAGGTAAAAGGCCATGATGTCCTGGACCTTCTGATTGGTCACCTGAGCTAGAATGCCCCCTCTTTCCTGCCAGCATAAACATAAAACTAGAACTTGTGTCTATGGGAGAGCACTCGAGGCCTGTTTTTAGAGACCTGATGTAGACTAATTGAACTGATACACACACAGATGGACTGTAAGTGTAGAGTCACAGGTGTATGAATGGTAAGATCCATCTGTGTGTAATCTTTCTCACCTGACAGCGCAGCTTGGCTGTGTAGTATGTCTCAGCTTCAGAGGACACCATGAAGCATTTGCCATCTATCTGCATGTCACAGCTATGGTAGGGAAAGCTCAGCTTCTCTACAGAACAGCAGCAGAGGATGAGTAAGCAAGCAGTCTTCAAAGCCGAGGATTTATTTTGGCTCAGACTTAAACTGGGAGAGATTTTGTTTGGCACAGTAGGGATCAGTGAAGGGGGGTCATATTAAAAACAGTCTCAGCTGAGGGAAGAGTCAATGGCTTAGCAAATGAGCAAAGCTGCCACAGATAAATCATGCCAAGACCATCCTAATGCTCACCCACTCACCTGCACACTCCGCTCCCCCGTAACCTACATCACACAGACAGGAACACTCCTCCTCCTTGTACCGCCCATGTACACACTGTACACTGCAGCGCACTGAAACATGTCAACAGACCACACGCATCAGAACAAATCTGTTCAGACAAAAAGGAGAGGCAAAGAGAGAATGGCACAAGGCATGCATTTAAAGCAGACACAAAGGAGTAGAGATGTCACATTTCGCATATGAGTGTTACACGTGTATGCAAAAGTTCGGGCTCCCCTGTCAAAATTACAGGTTTGTTGTAGTCTTCTAAGAAAAACAAGTGAACACATCCTTTACAAAGAACACATTTCTGCACATTTTAATGCACAGTTACTATTTTTATGCTAAATTTAACATAATGGAGAAAAAATAATAAATAAAACATATTGTACATTGTATTTTTTCCAATATGTTAAACTCTAATAAATGCAAATAAATAAGAACTATGCATTAAAAGTTTTAGAAAAATGCAATATTAAAATGTATTCTCTGTAGAGGATGTGTTAATTCATTTTTACCTAGAAAGTTAATAAAACATGTAATGTCACTGAGGTCGTTTAACCTTTTGCATACAACTGTATAGTAAGGGATGCACAATGACACTGGAATGACATATCAGTGTTGGCAGTATCAGCATTGGACCGATGTTTAGATTTGACCAATATTTCAAACCGATATGTGATGATTTATTGAACATACTCTGCAAGAGCAGAATGTTTAGATGATGTTGGGCTGCTACTGTGAAATATGAAATTGCATTTGTAACCCTCTACAAGAAGTGTCACATTCTTCTACACTGACTGTAATAATGATCTAGCCCCAATTTCTACATTATATTAATGGCATCACCATGTATATGTGTATGAAAAATCTAGGTTCATCTTTAGTGATAGTGTATACAAAACACTAAAAAATCCTTTTTTGAAAACAAATAATCACAACACTGCAAAAACAAAGTCTAAAATGTATCGCACTAATGTACATACTAAAAATAAAGTCATTTTTTATCACATTTTGAAGTGATTTATAGCCTAGCATTTTGCCACTGTTGCAACAAACCTTGTTTCTCCAAAACAGTACATTTATAGAATGGAAAGTTCTTTAGCAAATATGTTTCTAACTTTAATTTAAATTAACGTAACAAGATTTTCATTCCAATTTATTTTGGAGCATTTCTACTGGTCTACTTGACATGAAACACTTACATGATGTTTAGGGCAGTTGGCATTATCAAATGGTGAAAAATGAAAAGAATAAAAAAAATAAAGAATGGTTGATGATATCTTACCTAAATTTGGATTGGTTTTATTAACTTTAACATTCTTCAAGTGTGCAGTATGTGACTGCATCTACAAAAATATAAATGTCGGATCAGTACTTGGTTTTGGCAGATTTTGCTATTACATGATTCGAATCAAGATAAGGATCGTGGAGCAAAAAAACTTGATAAGAACATCCCTAGGTGGCACTGAAAGGTCAGTCTGTCAGCCTGAAACACCAGTGATGACTCCACAGGGCCCCATGCCGACATTATACAATGCTGAGAGAAAGGACAGTTACCCTGGCAGAAGCGGCCAGTGAACCCCAGGGGCACAGTGACACTGGCATGAAGAGACATTCAGCTGTCCATGCTGCCCACAACTCATACGACATGGGTTTCGGGGGGTCTCTGAAACAAGACACACATGCACGCACAAGACACAGGTTACAGCAAACACCTAAAGTCAAGAGGAGACAAAATGGACACAAAAAAGCATGGCACATTCTTCTTAAGCACGCTGATGTAGTTTATCCTTGAAATGAGTGGGGTCAGAGAAAAGCATTTGTCCATTAAATCTCTTAAAATAAGGCATGGGTGAGCTTTATTAACTAAAATACCACGGCATAAACACTGTTGAAGCCAGGCACTTTTACCCACGACGTCCTTATCTCAGAATGAATAACTGCAACAAAGGAGTAGTGTGTACACTTTGCCTACAAAAATAACTTTTATCATGCCACTTAAACACAGCTTGTCTAATGAAAGGCACACGGAAAACATTTTAAGTGAAGATTCCCTTGATCTAGCAAACTCTTCTAAAGACCAGCACTGCACAAGCATAAAACATGGCATAAAATGTAAATCAGCATGGCTTCTTTTTTGTGAGATATCTAAAGGTATACTGCTGTACTTGAGTTTCATAGCTATTTTGGCTAATGTTTTAAAGGTCGACCAAAAATTATCACTCAGTGGCCTGCTGTGGGTGTTCTCACCACACAAACCGCCAACATGGTCCCAAAGCCGGAAGCAGCCAGACATAGAAGATGTACAGAGAGAGCAGTAAACTCCTGATTTATAGGGCACCACCTGCCTGCCGTTCACCTCCCAGTTTCCCCTGCACACACACAGTGAGAGGGCTTACATGTCATGTCATCAGAAAACAAAATGTGTTAGGCCGTGCACCGCTCCCCCCTACATTAGTAAACAGACACCAGTAAACAGAATTATGTTACCAAAACCTCAATATGTTTTTCTTTCTTAATTGAAAAGTAACGGTGAAGGTCAAATATTAGGGCCTTTCAAAAGAAGGCAGAAGAAGGTGCAGTCTTGCCAATCTTTTGATTTGCAGCATATGTGTGAAAAGGCAGCAGCCTGCCACAGAAACATGAATACATGGCTACACTTGAATAAATACCATGACAAACATCCAAACAGCAGGCTCTCTTACCCCGGGGAATATGCACAGACAAACAGGTCCAAGTGCACTGCTCCGCTTCTACACACATGCACGGCACAGCCCACCTGACTGGATGTGGCCCACACCAGCTGACACACAGAAGCACACAGAACACACTGGATAATGTTGTAACAGCTGTCATCATTCCCAGAAAGGAGCACTGCCATAAAACTTTCAACATCCTGAAAGCATAAATTAACCGATTTGTTAAATGTTATGAGTGTCTAGTATTGGTCTTGGGAGGCCAGAGTCCAGCACAGTTTAGTGATGTCCCTAATCTAACAGATCTGATTCAACTTATCTATTAGTGACCAGGTTTACTGGGTGTAATTGAGCACGAATCACCAAACTCTACTCGACTCTAACCCTTCAGGACCAGAGGTGGACACCGTCCAAAAAATCACCTGTGTGTAATGCTGGCAGGTGCCATTGTTCCTGCACTGACCACTTTGGTAGATGTAGTCCTGGCCCTCCTGGAACCAGAAATTGATGACCTCAGGAAAGGAGGCCTCACCATGAGGGGACTGATGGATATTCCACCCAGTGTGCTCCATGTGTCCTTCTAATCGAGTACTGTCCTTTGAGCAGGACTCAGCCCTTTCTTGAGCCAGTCCAGCTAGCATCTCACTCCACTCCTGGAAAGAAATGAATGGTTCTCCATGAATCAGAAAGATACAGCTCAAAGTCCAAAAAGAGCATTTTCGTTCCTAGTCCTGGAGTACCACTGCCCTGCATTATTTAAGATTTGAGCTACTCTAATACATCAACTTCAACTCAAAAAAGGCTTATTAATAAACTGATGAGTAGAAATAGCTGTACTGGGAGCAAAAGAAACACTCAAAGGCAAGGCAAAGATCAAGAAACACTGCTTTGAAAGAAAGAGAAAGATCTAACTTTGGCATACTTTTTTATAGACAAGATGTCAAACAAGCACTGGGTAGCATGAACCAAGTAACGGACAGCAACTGAACTGAAAGGTGTTATCTAAATACAGGTAAGTTATTAAAAGTCTCCTAACTCTTGCAGACAGTTGCTCCTTGGGATAGCCCAAACAGTTAGTGCGCAAGCAAGAACAGACAGACGCCTTGAGGGGCAAGGGGATAAGACAATGTCACACTACAGTCTTAATTTAGACAAGTAGAGTCTTAAATAAGATTGCAGATAGCTGATCATTTTCTTCAAGAATGCACCGCCAATCTTGGTTTTCCAAGCCAGATCTGCATCTTAAGGAAAGTGGTAAAAAAATAAGATGGAAGTGTACATTGTCAGCATATTTATTTTGTTACTATAGTCCAGAAATTATTGTAATATAATATATATTACAATGTATTGCAATACATTTGCGGTGTATAACATGATAAATAGGATGAAGGAATGATGGGATATATGTAAGTGTGTGTGTGTGTGTGTGTGTGTGTGTGTGTGTGTGTGTGTGTGTGTTTGCAAGCGTTTAAAACATCTCCCCTTTCCAACATTGCTCAGGGCTTTAGTAAGTTTCCCTTAGACAAATGAAACACTCAGTGCATCTCCAATGAAGGATCTCAGATAATGATCTATGTTCCATGAACAGCAGCAGTGAACTGTAAATGGGGGAGCTGAAGAGCAAGGGATGAGAGATTCCTCTTCCTGAGCTGAGGGGATCAGAGGAAGGGAGGTGGTGAAACTGGATAAGCCTGTGGTAGTAACAGGTAAGGCTGACTTGTCAAGAATAACAGAGGTCAGCACAAACCTATTGGGAATTATGTCACAAGTGGAAATTTAAGATTAATCAATCAAGCCACCCAAACAGGTCAGAAAGAAAAGTTCAGAAAACAAGTTCAGTATGATTTGGAGAATAGCACTCTTGGTCCAGAATTGCACTCAGTTGTACTGGCCACTCACTGGCCATTGTCTTTGAATAAGTGTAAGACATATGGCCTTATATTCTCAAAAAATGTTTGAGAAAAATATTATTTACACACTGCTATTTGCATATCATGCTGTTTTAGTACGTGCTGTGACCCAATTTATCTGTTTGTTTTAAAGGCCCATATCCTACATTTTCCTTTTACCTTATTTTATCCCTTCTGTCAATTTATGGCACCAACAGTGCCACTGATGGGGGGCACTAAAAAAGTGCCAACTGATTTCCACCAGAGAGGCCTCCAAATCCCCAAATGTTACATAGTGTAGCTTTTATACATCATGAAAAGCATGAAAAAAAAATTATATATATATATATATGCTAAGCATAACATTTGATTTGATTTTTCCCAATATCTTCAATTCAGCAAATAAACATTCATTAAAATTTAATTTAAATAAAATGTGCAGAAGTGTGTTCTCTGTAGAGGATGTGTGCTTATGTTTGCTTAAAAAATCAACAAAACATGTAATTTGACCAGGGACACTCAAACTTTTGCATATGACTGTACATGTAAATCTGATATGCCTTATGTGACATCACAAAAAACAAATTCAAAACGGGCTGTTTAATAGGAAGCTTAATTTCCATATATGGACTGGGTAGACTGGGCTGGAGAGTGAACAATACACTTTGAAACAACAATGCTGTGTTTACATGTTGGAGTTAAAAAAAAATGCTGTTCCACACCTCATAGCAACTGTCAGTGGCATGAAGCCACACAAACATTGTCACTGTGACAGCATTACCAGTAAAAATGGATGATGATCAGAGGAAGACTTCAGCAGTGCTGAGTGTTTATTTAAGGTGGAAAAAGGCAGGAGGATGCTCTTTACTCTTTTAATTTTTGTTGTATAATACAGTTTGTCTGGACATTTGGCATCTATAGCTCCCAAAAAAACTAACATCTGGTTTATTTCACCACTGTAGTTGATGGCAAAAGTTGGGAAAATTGAACCCTCCACTTACTGTGTAGCAAACAGAGCAATGCCACTAGTAGTGGCAGCTCCGTTGCAGCTCCATTGAAAACAATGGAATATCCGGTTTGCCATCAGCCATCTACCAACATGTAAACTCAGCATAATAATGTTTAGAGTCTACATTAAACTCTTAAAAAAGGGAGGAAGAATCACTTTTCCATGATATGGGATCTTCAGTGTTTTAGACATAGCCATTGGCCTTCCTGGCCAGGGCTCACTCAGGAGAAGAAAGTATAGAAGGCTGACACCAAACTGAATCAGGAGAGAGAAGTGACTCATTGCTGGGCTTTAGCCAAACTACAGATGAGATGACAAATTGCCAGTGAAAGGCCCCACACAAGCACACCCATTTTGCCTGAGTCCAAAGGCTGTGACATTATTGTGAATGCTCAGACTCTAGGTATGACTGACTTCCTGTGTCATACACCCTCTTCTCTTGTTTCTTTACTCTCCCACTGTGCTTTAGAAATAAAGCCACTGTATGTGTCATTCTCTAGATAATCTGCTTGACCTGGTCTTCTCCTCTGACCTCCAAATAGCAGCAGAGTGTCTATGTGGCCACCAGCATGACACGCCTGGGCAGTGGCAGCATGTTCCCATGGAAACGGCTGTCACCACTCCAAAACCTAGCGTGAAATCAAGGAAGGGGGGGCGCAGTTTCCGCAGATGTGGTTTCACAGCGGGCCCCCCCAGGAACGGGTCCTGTTTCAGGCAGCCTGAGACCCAGGCTGAGGAGGGGAGGGAGAACACAGCCAGCGTTCGCTGGCACAAATCAACGACCAAGTCATCCGAGCCATCCCATTCCCACCCACGCTATAGACAGAGATGAAACTCAGACAGGCCATCAGCAGGTCTCCTTTAGCCACAGCCCTCCCCATCCTGCCCTATCTTTCCACACTCGCTCTCTGTAAAGCCTCAGAGATGCTGCCAGCTCTCTGTCACCCCACGGCCTCCTCTCTAGAGGCAGAGCTCCTTACGGACTGACAGCGTGCATTTAGCTCTGCTCACAGTGGAAGACTGCAAATGCTTGTGTGCTAAAAAACAACAATTCTCTTCCTACTCTAAAGCAATGAAACCAGCCAAACACATCCCAGTGATTTTCTCTTGAGTGATTTAAGATGGACAGGCAGATGGATGGTTTTCTAAAAAAAGAGCATCTAAATGGAATTCCATATAACTCTTTATTTATTATATTTAACAATAAATATTATTCTGACTTACTTTAAATATACAATCTGTATGATTAATGGTATGATCCATCACTATTCTGCCTAGTCTTTGAAGTCCATTAGAGATTACAGTAAACAGCATGTCAGACAATTATGCCATCCACTGCAGATGGACTAGTGACCGGTTTTAATGATATGCTGTGATATAAAACTTAATAAAATTAAAATTGTAATAATTCCTATGACCACGTATGTGACAGGACAACATAGGCTTGTGAAAACCATGCTGGAGGGAGCTTAGATTGTTTTATAGTTGAACAGCTTTGGTGAAATGTTTTTAATGCATTTTTTAAAAAAAAATCTGTGTATTTTAACAATATTGTAAACCATGATCATTTTAATCACTCATCTTTCATCCTGTCTCATCTCTACCATCCATCCACTTCAAACTACATTAACTATTTATGCCTCATTTCAGAATATATCAGTTGAAAGAGAAAGCTATTACAACATTATTGGAATAAAAACAGAGTAAAACTGCATTTTGCCGAGTTTAATGTGTTATTTGTCAAGTTATGCAGTATTCTGTAGCACAGCACTGCATCTCTCTGCCTCACTGTTTTGACAGAATTCAACATTTTTAATTGATTTTATGTTTTTGCACATCAATGACCTCTCACTATAATGCCCGACATGCATTCCACAAATACATTATCTATGTAATTTCTGTCATATAAGTAATCCATTCTCTCCACTGTAACGATGATTTGAAGACAGTTATATGGTTGCAATGAGATATCCTTAGTAGTAATGTTAACTGTCTGGTTTTCTACTACATTCGCCAGCTAACAAAAACATGAAAAAAAAAATTCAAAACAGTTCACCCCAAAAATTCACCCCAAAGCTGCTGGAGTTTTGCCAAAGTTCTTTATCCATTTATAATTTCTGTGATATGATATACCCCTAAAACTAAAAAGAGAAGACCACACATTGAATTTGAAAAGTTAAACGGATTATAACATTTAATTAAAAAAATGTTACTTTTTTTGTCAGAATTACAGGAACATGAAGAAGGAAACATAATTAAAAGACTGGAGAAAAATAGAGAAAAACAATCTCAAAAGGTCAACACGTTCACACAAACACATATAATCTCACATCACATGCAAAAGCTTAACTAAGACAAAAGCTTAAAGAAAATACTCTAAGTCAAAAGAGAAAGACAGACAGCAGAAAGACAGACAGAGAGAGAGAGAGAGAGAGAGAGAGAGAGAGAGAGGGGTGGGTGAGTGCACCCACAGGTGTCTTCTCCCCCAACACAGACTTGGTCAAAGCAGTTATAGCTGTATGCAAATTATATGCAGAATAGACAATCTACATATACAACTGCTGATTCATCATGGCAAATCTAAACTACTATGAGGCAGACTTATATAGGCTCAGAAACAAAACTGAACACAGTATCATTGGTGAGATTCATTCAACAAAGACAGTGCTCCTCATGTGCATCTTAATGACATCAGCAAGAGTCACTCTCAGCCAGGCACAAGGCCTTGAAGGTTCCCAACTGGTCACCAAGTTCCAGCTCCTGAACCACAGGGCTCTGCCATGTCTGGTAGGCTAGACTGGAGGCATAAAATCCTTATCTCGTTTCACAGCGTCCTTCTCGAAGAATATGTCACAAGCTTTACAGAAACACAAAGAACTATATTTCCTAGGTATAAGAAATATATCCATAAGAAAAATACTCTATATTAAAAAGATTTAAATTTGATCACGGGAGATAATCTACATCCCTTCAGTAGCATGCAAATAAGCATGTTTACCACAGTTGTAGCGATGGTTAGATTTTTCCCTTGCAGATGTTTCATTTAATTTGAACATACACAGTTTACATATAGAGATATGCTATACAGACATACAAGCTGTGTCAGTATGCATAAATTCTGCAGAAGTTTTGATTTGTGCAGACAGGCACACACAGCAGAGACCCTTGCTTCTCTCCATATTCCATTTCACACTCCACACAGATCTGAAGAAATGACCTCGCTTTCATTATTGTGCTGCTGAAGTTTGAAAGAGCGGTACTTCCCACAACACACACACACACACACACACACACACACACACACACACACGCACACACACACACACACTTCCCCCAACTCTTCTTTTTCAGTTACACACTCCATCATTCCAAATGCTCTCAGTCTCCATTCACTTCAAGAACCATAAGAGGGGTCACCAGGAGAAAAAAAGGACCATCATTTGAGAAACTTTATGAAATTAGGGAATCTTATCTCCCTCTGAAAGGAAGGCTTAGAGCTCCAGTGTGAGACTCTAATCTCTTTACAGCCACAGACAATCAGACTGCTCTTATGGATTCCTGCGCAAATATTCCCGAACGATAATCACAAAGCTGCCTCAGCCCAAAGCCTTTTCAAATTTATCACTAAAGCACTTTAATATCCCTCTTCAACTCCCCAGGAACTCCACTGTGAGGCTTTGAAGAAATTACCTGAAATACTGCAGACTTGAATGCAAAATGGAGAGTGATGACAACACATCCTCCATCTTATTTATGTGCTATAAGCCGTGCAAAGGCTGCAACATGAAATACTGAGTGAAATATAGAGTGCTTGTGATTTTATCATTATATATAGTGTGTGAAGTATTTGAACATGTGGCTTTTCTGAAGTTTTTTTTTCTGGGTAAAATGCTATGACATTAAAGAAGAAAATATCAAGTGAACAGAATGGATCATATCTTTATGTGATCTACTAAATATCTACCATGTACAGTACTGTTCAAAAGTCAAAGACCACCCCTTGTTTATTCAAGTTCCTACACTTTTCAACAACTTGCCTTCTGATTTTCAAAGGAATATTTTCTGCAGGAATATTTTTAAACATCTCAAGTTCAGTCTTAGAAGTTGGTTGCATTTTCTGCTTCTCGTGATACAAGCAATATAAAACACATTCAACAATGTTGAGGACTAGATTCTGGGGCAGGTGGTCCATTATTTTGAAAAAAAAAAACAGCAGTTTCCTCGTTTGTAAAATTTCTTCTTTTTTCTATTTACTTTTCTCAGTAAGGGCTTCTTGACTGCTATACATCCTTTCATACTCATAGTGTTGAGTTGTCTTCTCACAGTGGAAGGATGGACAGAAAAACGTGAATTGTTTTCAGATCTGAGTGGAGCTTGATTTTCTCCTCTCTCTTAAAGATGAAAGTTTTAAGTTCTGTTTATCTGATGATGACAGTTTTGGTGGTCTACCAGGTCTTGCACAATTGTTAGAAGTCCTAATTTCTCTGTCTCTTTAAATAATTTTTTAACTCCAATTTTGGAAACACCAGTTTTTTCACTTATTTTTCTTTGACTTTACCCTTCTTTGTGCAAGTGGATTATCTTATATGTAACCTTCTCAGAAATAATAAGTAACTCAATGGCCATGTTGACTGGAAATGAAAGAAATAAAGGGGAGTCTCTGACTTTTGCACAGTACTGTGTGTGTGTGTGTGTGTGTGTGTGTGTGTGTATATATACATATAGCTATTAACATTTCAGCACCACAGCATGTTACAAATTAATGGTTCGATGGGTCTTATACAAAGCATGATTAAGCACATAGGATGCCAAAATAAAATTGCACCAGCCTTTGTTACTGAATGTAGTAGCAGATGTGGCTCGTATACTGTAGCTCAACCTCTGACATGAGCTGTCTACAATGACTCAATTATGTGGGCTGGTCGTTTGTATTCTGTCTGGCAAGCCCTCTAAACCCGAGGAGGCCCATAAGGGCAGATCCACTCCAAACAGAGCGCATGGACATCAGGATTAGCGCCCCAGTGCGCCCTCATACAACAGCTGTGCTTACGATGCCACTGTGCCTGTGCACATTGATACCCAACTGTGTGAAATACCACTGTTTGGGATATCACTGTTTCGAGATAGGATATCCTTCAGAGAAAGAGGACTTCTGTTTGGATTAACTGCATTTTGAAATAAGAATAGCCTCCAAAAAGGCTCCAACTGTCTTTGGGAGTCACATTTCAAATGCCTGATAGGTGTTTTCATAACTATGTGCTTCTATCAGGAGAAACTGTGGGAAGTTTGTAAAGAGGATAAGTGTTCAAGGCCAATGGTTTCTGTCTGTTTGGGTTGATTCAACAGACAATTCCTTTACACACCACATCTGTCTTTCAAAAGTAGGGGGATTAAGCCATTTTGGGGGTGGGGGCTGATGGTACTCTGATTTTTTCTTGAGGTTTCTGATGATCCATTAACCCACTGCTCTAATAAAGAGCTCTGGCACTAGCCCAAAGTTGGATGCCGAGAGAAGGATCCTGAGAAACAGCAGAGAGTATTTCAGGCTGAGCTCTAGTTCAGGAAATGAACTATGCTAGGAAGTGCAGCATCACAGTTTTGTGATAATGTGTAGTTTTAGCAACTGAAGTTATATATGTACAGTACTGTGCAAAAGTCAGAGACCACCCTTCATTTATATAATTTCCAGTCAAAACATCTCTAAACAAGATTGAGAGAAAACAGACTGCTAACAACCATAAGACGCAAGACCTGGTAGACCACCACAACTGTCACCATCAGATAAACAGTACTTTAAGCTTTTATTTTTGAGAGAGAGGAGAAAATCAAGCTCCACTCTTGCTTCAGATATGAAAAAATCCACAGGTGTTTCTGTCCATCCTTCCACTGTGAGAAGGCAACTCAACGCTATGAGTATGAAAGGATGTGTAGCTGCCGTTAGTGAGAACAGGAAATAAAAAAAAAAATCTGTAAATAAAACAAAGGAGCTGCTGGTGTTCTCAGAACAATGGACTGACCACCCCAGACTCCAGACCTTAGCATCACTAACGCTGTTTGGGTTTACTTGGATTGTGAGAAGCAGAAAATGCAACCAACTTCTAAGACTGAACTTGACAGGTGTGGAAAAAAAATCCTACAAACTTCCTTGAAAAACTTGCTGAAATTTCATTGTTGAGGCTTCAACAGGGTCTCTGACCTTTGCTAAATACTGTCTGTTAAAGCTAGTCCTCACCTTTCAATTGTAAAGTATATAGCAAGAGCATGTTGGGATTGCTGTTCAGCTTTGAGAAGGATATTAACATTTTTGATAACTGAAAAAAAATAACAAAGTTTAAAACAAATGAAAAGAAAATCAGAAAGTAATACTCACAATACTAGCTGAATAACTGATTTGCATATTGTTCAACCCTAAAATTCATAGAGGTTCAAGGCAGTATTTTCTCTAGACATTTGACCAAAACAGTCCTTATAGATCTACAAAAATGTGCTTTAGATTCAAAGAACAATTCTGGAAGAAAAGGTACCCTCTTCATTCAGTGGGACCTCCTTGAATTCTTTCCTGATGGTAAGTGGGGGATTAAGACTCAGTGGCTAGTAAGAGGCTGGCAAGCTATGCTGATGCACCAGCAGACCTACATTAACGAGACATGAGCAAACAAAGGCAAACTCACCATTTTCTGCATATTTGCAGCCATGGGGCTGACCCGACTGCGCAGTCTATTGTGCTGTGTAACAATTTGAAAATGCTCCTTCACCCCGAGCCCTAGAATAAAAGAGAGGCCTGTAATGACTCTACTGCTAGAACGGATCCCCATAGCAACCAAATACAGGCGCGAGGTGCACAGGGTCAGGGTCAAACAGTGTGATGAAACAGTGCACAAAGGGCTCATATTTATTAACCACACCACTGCATTAATTACACTGAAATAGTCTCATATTACAGAGGTGAGCCTAAAACCAAGTTAAGTAAAAGAATTCTTACTTTAATTAGGTAATGAGTCAAGATGAAGTAAAAGTACACAAAGAAGTAAACAAAAAATATCAGGTGAAAACACTTCTCACATTCTCAGTTCTCAGTATATCCAGCATCAATCACTTAGGAACTGGGGTTTCTTACGTGCTATTCTTCTCTTTTTGGGATAGTTTTGGTGTAATTAAAATGCTAAAGCTCTAAGGTGACAGGCTAACAGTTTGACAGATATTGAATTTAAACACGGAAAGGAATTCCTGACTAAATGTGAAATACTAAAATAGAATTGGGTAAAATGTATTTCCTTTTCTCATATATATCTTTATATATAGGTTGTAAAAGGTAACACATTTGTACCTGAAGAAGCTTAAGTCTCATCTAAGGCAAAGAAAAAGCCCAGAATTGAATTAGAGAGTGAAAAGGGCACTGCAAACCCACTAGACTTAACTAAAATAGATCACATAACGAGAGCTTTTACAGACTTATCATTCAAATGTTAAGAGTGAAATGGTAGGAGTTGTCCAGCACTGTACCTTCCTTTAACATGAGAAAAAGTCAAATTAAAATGATTGGACAAAGGTCACATTGACTGTAAGCCTGACCTCTGGTGGAGACATGGACAATATTTCACTTAATAAGTAGACTAATTCAGTGGTTGGCCTTTGAAAGAAAACGAATCATCATTCTTAATTTGCCTGCTGATTACTGGGTAATTTATTTTTTATCTGTATCAGAACAGTGTAACCTAAACCCTGAAATTTATCTCCCCAACCATTTTAGATCCATAAAAGAAATAGGATTACAAATCTTATCTACACTAAAAACATCAATCAGCTTAAATCTCACATACACACTACTTCAAAAGTGTTCTCCTACTTCATAAACTTCTAACACACATTGATTTGGGCCATGCTATGCTAAAATATGCTGATAAAGGTTGGCTTACCCTTCACAGGTGACACGGTCCGGCTGGTGCATGTGCTCAAAACGGAGAGAATAACTGTTAGAAATGGAGCTAAACGATGGGGGCCTGTGGAAGACCTCATGGCTGTGGAGCTGCACCGTGCCAGAGAAGCAGCACTTAGACATGAAGTGTGACTGTGGCTGTGTCCCACCCAGATCTCCCTCCCTCCACAGCCCCCCTTCTCTCTCTCTCTTTCAGCGTCAATAGCAGCACTTTCACAGAGAGCTTCTTCATTCTGTTGGCACAGTGCTCACATGAGGTAACCTGTAAACACACTTCAGGCATGTCTAGCCTCCTCTGTTAAAGTCGTAAGCTACTCTGTGATTTTGATACAAAACAGTGGTGACTCTTATGTGCAAAAACTGGTGGAAAGTGTTATCAAATGTTAATTTAGAAAGAAAAGCCAAGTACCAAGTAGCTAGTAAGCTGATGAAACACTTTTTGAAGCTCTATTGGAGTGATTTCACTGTGTTCGTGAAATCAATATAATTCAAAGCACATTAATCATTTCAGTGAAGTTTGTAAAGTACAGAAAAAAAAAGATTTTTCTTTCAAATTCTGACAGCTGTTATATCATCTGCTCAAAAGGTATATATTATATCTATGAATTTCTGTCATTATATAAGGAGAATACTATGAGAATAAAAATACATCTGTCTGCTTTGACTGAAAACTACATAGCAGTAGCAGAACTGTCTGGAGAACAGTGATATTTGTGTGTAATTACAGACTGGCACAATCAAACTAACAGTTTTTTTGTAACTGTTGAGGTAGATACCTCAGAATCCATAAGAATGATTATCTACAGTGACTGCCCTTAGTGTCTGGCCTATTAGTTCTCTTTGTGCTATCATGGCTCATCATGTTCTCTCTGTAGTGTCCTTAATTCCTGTATGAGCCTCATAAAGGCCTAATTACTTAAATGTGGGATTATGTGCTTCACTCTTATATCAGACAAGTTCAGAGTCATGCACAATTGTCATAGCCTGAAGCCATAAGCTGAATGATGGCAATGCTTCTAGACAAGTGACAAAAGGAGTTTCTGGGATAGGCACTTCAAACCCACTCTGAAATGCTGTCAACAAGAGCAAGTAGCTATGGTTGTCTGAGCATCTGGATAGAATATTCTAGAGTTAGCCTGATTTGCACAGTGCAGGGAAAGCCAATGCTCCACTTCTGAAATCATGTCATGCAAAGCAGCTCTTCATCACAACCATCCTTCATCTTCATTAGAAGTCTAAATGATGTTTTTAAATGTAATCTAACATGACTGTTCCCGATAAATCATCTGGATAAGGCCTCTTCTCGGGGGTCTATGGTTTTGTATGAAGGGACAATCGCATTGCTGTGTTTCATGGTTTCCAGTGTGGGTCTGGCTCCTGAAGTGTAATCTAAACACTCAGACGAGGGGATCCAGTAGAAGCTCCTGCTAACAATCCTGCTCTGGTTCTCATTAAAGCAGTAACTAAATCTTCTGTTTTATTACGGTTTTATTTTTTATAATGCATTTCTTGATGACTATGGTAGTGCTGTTAATGATGTTAAATGTAGTACTCGACATGTTCAGTGACAATGGGTCATCCATGGTACAATCATCCATGGTCAAATTTTGTTTTGTTGATTTTCTAAGTAAAAAATAAGTTATCACATCCTCTACAGAGAATAAATGTAAATGTGGCATTTAGTGCACAATTTACACAATTGTTTAACATATTGGGAAAAATATGTTCCACAACTTTTGCACAGGACACAATTTTATGTTTATCACCTTTAATTTGACCGATATTTCAAATCTATATTTGATATAGGTTTAACATGGATCCTTCCATACTCAATATTTTTAGACCAATTTCTAACCTTCCTTTTTTAAGTAAAGTCTTACAAAAAGTTGCTTTTTAAACAATTAAATGTGTGTCTAATATCAAATAAGTTATTTGAGAAGTCTAAAACAGGTTTTGGTTCTCACCATAATACTGAGACACAACTTTCGCGTTGTCAGTGGCTTCAGGCTTAGCACTGATGCACAAAATTCTTCTGTTTTGGTCTTATCGGCTCTTAATGCAGCTTTTGATATGATGAATCACAAGAGTCCCACAAGGTTCAGTTGTAGGGCCTTTGCTTTTCTCTTTGTACATGTTATCTCTAGATGTCATTAGGAAACATAATATCAATTGTCATAGTTATGCTGATGACATGCAATTATACTTTTCCATTGCTATAGGAAATCAACACAACAAAACAACAACAACAAGAACAACAACAACAATAATAATAATAATAATAATAATAATAATAATAATAATGATGATGATGATGATTTGTTGTTTTGTTGTTGTGGTTGCTGTTGTTGTTTTGTTATTATTATCATTATTATTATTATTATTATTATTATTATTATTATTATCATTATTATTATTACATAGTTATCATAGAATGTTTAGACAACACTGGGCTACTATGCAAAATCAGCATCAGCATTTTATTCACTTTACTGCAATTGTAATCCTACAGAAATAAATCTAACGTTTCTTGGTAATCCAGGTGAATTTAGTCTCAGCGTGGACTTCTACATGAAAATATTGAATATCTGCATTGGTCCACATTCCCATATTGGTGCATCCCTACAATTTAGATCCTTCATTTAAAATTCTAAATGGACACATACAGGAGGATTATTCTGGCCTTCTGTCCGACACATCCTCTGATTCTGAGGTGTTCTCTGTTAAGTGGCCAAAGCCCTGTTAAATAGTTCTCATATTTTTCAGCATCAAATCAGTGATGCACCATGGCTGTAAAAGGCCTCCCTGCAGAGGGCAGACTGTTTCTACACTGTGGCTTAACTAGACCACTCAGCCAGTCCCATTCACATTCTTGTTCTCTGAGGGCCAAAGTCCAGTGAAGTGGCTCAGTGAATGTGGAAAACATACCAAGTAAGCCAGACCAGACCCTCCATTATCACATTGTTTTAGACAGACATCATCATTTTTGCCTACCCAGCTCTATCAAAGATGCATACATAGAGGCAAGCAATACAAATCAGCATTCCAAAAGCATTCCAAAAGCAACAAAATGCTGATTGCACACAGTAGGACTGCCTTTATGTCTCTACCACGGCAGTTGTCAGATGAGCCAGGCCTACTCAAAGCAGACACGTTCCCCATTTAGCAGGGGAGTTTCTCCCATTACCACTGTCTGCTTATCTCTCACAGTGCCGCAAGGGTGACAACTTACTTTCACCCATTAAAAGACGTATTGTGCTGCTCCACGCTGAGGTGTTGTTGACCAGCGGATTTTATATTCCTGTTCCTCCAAGTTAACAAATAGGCGACCAGAACTGAGCGGCTTTTATAAGGGGAGAATTTGGCATGTGGAGCCCAAAAAAAGGAAAAGAAGAAAAACATTAGCCTACGGGTTATAAAAATGTAGGCTACTCTCCACGCGGTGCTAGTTTGACTTTGATGGCTCCTAAAACTAGCCCAATTTCTCCTCACTGCGCTACAGTTTATGGGGTTTCTCCGCTTTCCAGCGAGTGATAAAGCAGCTTTAGAGACATCTGGTCGTGGAAACAGGTACTTCTGGTTCACTAGACTACGACTTCAGAGGACAGTTCTGAGGAAAATGAGTGGAGTTTACCTCAGTCTCGTCGCGCTGCTGCTCGTGTTTATCTGTCAGATTCCCGCCATCCGTGGGCAGGTGAGTGGAGCACGAGATCCAGTTTTGGACTGTTGTTTTTATCAAAAACTGCTTATCTACAGTCACCTGTGTGAGTCTGAATGACCAACTTTAACTGCATTCACAGCATTTAGTCCAATACTGGATCATATCTGATACTTTTCTGTATAAAACTAATGAAGCAGTGTTTAATGTCAGTTTCGACACTGAAACTGTATGATTTTGATTTTTTTCCACGAAATGTACAATCGCTAGTATAAAGCCACTTTGTCCTTGATAACATTCCAATATTCCAAAAATAGTAGCCTATTAAGCTGCAAGTTAAGCTTTCAAAGCAGCATTTGCTCGCAGAAGGGTGTTACATGACTGTTAGCAGCCAAAATGTGTAAAGAAAAAGGGTAAAAAGTAATGAAATAAAAAGGCCATACGCCTAAATTAATAGTTAGAGAAAGAGAGAGAGAGAGAGAGAGAGAGAGAGAGAGAGAGCGAGCGAGAGAGCGCTGTGGTCAGCTAATTACTGTCATTTGTACAGAAAGCCAACACATGTTGAATACATCATTCTCATTATGACATTACATGACTTCATTTTTTGGAACATCTACTGGGTTAGAAAGCCTTAGTTGGAAAAAAAAAACTGTTTTTCTTCCTTTAGTTTGTTTCCTTGGTTTATATGAGTCATATGTAGAAGATCCATTGTAAGGAATGGTCATATTTCCCTCATATGCTCATATGGGGTTGGATCTAATGATGTTCATTGTTTAAATATATTAATTTTACGCCGCTGTGTAATTCGCACAACTACTAAAAGCTTGACTGAAGGTTCAGTAACTCGTCCGGCCCATTTATTGTGCAGTGATGCAAGTGCATCAGAGCCAAATGAGGGTAAACAGGATGAAATGTTTTTGCAGAAGCCCTGAAAAAGAGAACATGGTCACTCTCTCACACTACTACCCTCATCTCCCTACCCTCATAATCAGCTACCCAGGTGTTTTCACAGGATGTGCAAATATTGATTGTACTTATACAAGTCTTGCAAGATGAAAACACTCATTGGTTTTTTAAAAAACATGAAAGAAAATGAGAAAACAGAGCGCACAAAAAACACAGTGCCCTTCCCCTTGATGGCAGCCAACGAGAGGCTAGGAACCTCTCATGTTCTGATTGGTTTGAATATTTCATGAAAGGGTCAAGGCTTACCTGAGCTGTCTGAAATCACAGAGCATCAGCAAAATAAACCACATTCACTGTTAAACTACTGTGACGCAACATTTTGATGAAGTATGTAAATTCCAAGAGTTCCAAGAAACATTTATTATTAAAGCTGCTCTCCCCAGCAGTATACCAGATTTTGAAAAAAAAAATCATCCCTGAATTTCCTGCCTCAAAATACACATAATGTTTCTTACATGACATTATAATCATGTTTCTTATGTAACATTAAGTGATGTAGAAATATCTAAGACAGCCTGAAGGTTTTGTGGTTGTTTGTGAGAAAAATGGATCTATGACTGAATGGCAGTTTAACACAGTCCTAATTGCTTTCAGCATTCCAACAGATCATTTATAGTCTCTCAATACATCTTCATTACACTCAAAAGTGATGTGTTAATTAAAAACATGCTTTTTGTGTAAAAACACCAAAATGCTTGTTCTTAACTGAGTGAATTAATGCAGGCTGTATGAAAGTATTAAATCAGTATAAAACTTGTCCAGTTAGGGACACTGTGTACTGTGTACTGTTTGTAACATCTCTTTTAGGAGCATACACTCTGACAGTTACACTGGCCAAACATAATCCTGAGAGGCATTACTGTGTTTCAAGTACTGTGAAACAAAGAAAGCCTTCCAAGATTCAGACTGCCCACATTTCTGTAAGCTTTGCGATTTTTCTCGTTTTCTCAGAGCATGTTAAACCCTGCGTACACTCTGTTCATTCACCCTGCACGTACAATCCAGCCTTTCACAGCTTTGAGCCCCTACCTTCATGTCCAGAGTGGCACCTCTTATAGATGACGTCATGCACGTCACGAAACACTGAATCTTTCACAACTGGACAACTTCCACAGAATAAAACCACAAGCTTGCCTCATTTATGTGCTTGGCAGTCCCAAAGACAGGGCTAAGTGGAACTAGTCAAGCTGGCCTGTTTACAAAAATGTCTAGGATTTATCATTGGTATGTAGTTTTTTTTTTTATTCAACCTGACAAGAACATGACTACTATTAAAAATGTATATAATAATAGCAAAAATAACATAATGCAGCTGTTTTTCATATAATTCACCAGACAGATTCTCTGTTGATATATCTATGGTATGGAAATCTGAGTGTGATAAACTGAGACCCACTCCACTTCCAGGAATGTCCAGGGACACAGGAGCTGCAGAATTCCCTACGTCAGGCTCACAAGCTACTCTCAACACATGAAGCCTCGTACCTGCAGAGTCTCCGCACCTTGAGGAAGAAGCTCAGTCTACTGCAGAACAGTGCCGCTCGCCTGCCCACCAAAGCCAATAATGGTAAGGGCTTGCAGTAGTTAGTATGAGTAGGAGCAGACAGGACAGTGGGGTGAGCATTTAAATTAACACCAATAGTGCACTTAGCAAAAGGCAAACAAACAATCAAACCTCTTGTAAATAGAGGTAGGCAATATGTAATATTGCAATATTTCAAGACATCATAAAACACAATATCATTTTATATTTAACACTGCCCTGGTGAAGCCTCTGCTAAAAAGTGTAGCGTGGATCCTTCCGTAGTGAATAATTTTAGACCAATTTCAAACATTTATTTTATAGTAAAGTCTTAGAAAAAGTTATGTGTAATTTGACCAGGGCTGCCCAAACTTTTGCATATGACTGTATAATTTAGGAGGAATGCAAGATGACATCAGAATCATATCAGTATTGGCATATAATTGCTTAAAAAAGTTATCACTTTAGATTTGACTGATATTTCAAAGCTATATTTGACATAGGTTTAACATGGATCGTTTTGTACTCAATATTTTTAGAATTTAGAATTTATAACCTTCCTTTTTTAAGTACAGTCTTACAAAAAGTTGTTTTCAAACAAATATATATGTAATACCAAACAAGTTATATGAGTTTCAAACAGGTTTTTGTTCTAACCATAGTACTGTGTGAGAATTGGTTTATGTTGTCAGTGACCCCAGGTTCAGCGCTGATGCACAAAATCCTTCTTTTCTGGTCTTATCGGCTCTTAGTGCAGCTTTTGACACAGCTGATCACAAGATTCTAATCCACCGTCTTGTAAACTGAGTAGGCCTCTCAGGCACAGTATTAGAATGGTTTAAATCATATTTAGTTAATAGACAGTTCATGGTTTCACTGGGAAATGCATCATTTCTTGTGGAGACCCACAGGGTTCAGTTTTAGGGCCTTTGCTTTTCTTTTTGTACATGTTACCTCTAGGTGATGTCATTAGTACACAAAATATCAGTTTTCATAGCTGTGCTGATGACACACAATTATACATTTCCATTCCTTCTAATAATCAAGAGTCTGTAGACAGGCTTACCGGTTGTGTGTCAGATATTTCTCAGTGGATGTCAAAAAATTTCCTGCAACTAAATCCCAAGAAAACTGAAATACTGATCTTTGATACTAAAACAAAGAAAGAAAGCCACTGGTACTAAAAGAAAGCCACTTTATGAGAACTTCGATTCTCATAAAGCCAAAATTTATGAGCCAAACCTGAAGTATGAAACCTTCGTGTGATCTTAGACTCTGAGCTCTGTTTTATCCCACATGTGAACGCAGTCACTAAAGTAGCTTTTCATCATTTGAGAAATGTTGCTACAGTTTGGCCTTTTCTATGTGAGAGCAATTTTCTTATATGATTTTAAATTAGTACGCATAATTTCTTGTTTTACTGTTAAGCATTATCACCTGTCTGTAAAGCACTTTGAGTGGCCACTGGCAAGAAAAGTGCTATATAAATAAAGATTTTTATTATTATTGTTATTATCATTAATATTATTATTATATTGTTGAGGTTTGCTAACACATTAGAACAGACACAATGCAGTAAGATAGCAGTGCTAAAGAAATAGCAAAATAAGCTAATATCCTATACATACATACATACATATTTTTAGTATTGTGCTCAATTAGGAGACCACCCTGACCAAATGGGACATGGAAGCACAAATTATTCATTTTTCAGCCTCAGGAAAAAAAAACAGGACACATACTGTATTTAACAGAAAATTGCACAGAGGTCCGACAGGTTAGACAGATACTTGATTCATTTATTAACTTATAAAAATAGAAAAAAAATAATAATTGTGGCATGTGCAAAAATGTGGACACTCTACAAAGTTAATACTAAGTAATGCCCCTTTAAGCAGATATCACAGCTTGATAGCTTTGTGTAGCTATTTAGAAGTTTTTACCCATTCTTTTTTATGATGTTCATATCAGGACACTGTGAAGTCCATTTTAAAAGCTTCAGCTTTCGTTTTTGGTTTTGATGTATGCTTTGGATCATTGTCCTGTTGTAGAAGCCAGCCTGTTTTCAGCTTCAGAAGCAATATTGTGTGGAATCCATTCTTCCATATACCTGTGCAATGTTTCCTGTGCCACTTGTAACACATGTAATTTGGCCAGGGGTACCCAAACGTTTGCATACAACTATTTGTAATTTAGCCATTTTAGATGCATGTGAGAAAGAAATTTGCAAGGCAGTTAAGGTGTGTTTGGGTAGTTGTTTGTGTGAATGTTGGTGTCTTTTTGAAGGGGAATGTAATGTCAATGACACCTTTGTGAAAAACTTTTGTTGGAAGGCAACAGCTGTAACTTATTGGTTTTAGGATTGGAAGGATAGAAGAGTTAAAGTGGCAGTAGGGTGAATGCAAGTTAGAGCGGACAAATTAAATAGTGACACTGATTTGATAATATACTTAGCATTTGAGGCTGTTGTGTAATTTTCCATTAAATATGTGTTTTCTCTTTTTTCTGACACTGAAAAAACAAAAACACTGAAACTAAAGCACAACTGTAAATCTATCTGGAGAAGAGCATCTGCTCAGTGCTGTAAGTGTAAATATCGTGTTGCAGTGGAGAACTTTACTCTGACAGACACAGACAAAAGTGTCAAAAACACATTGGACATAACAATGCACTGTATTAACGCTTAATCTACACAAATATGATTTCTGCTCAGTTACCTGTCCAAAACTGGAGGCTCCTCTCAATGGCAGGAAGTTGGGGAAGATTCTGTTGCCAGGACATGAGGTTCACTTCCTGTGTGACTTGGGATATGAGCTTGTAGGGTCCGAGACTCGCCAGTGTAAGGAGTCACTCACTTGGAGTGGTCAGCAGCCAGTCTGCAAAGGTGAGTAATAATGATCCTCACATAGGGTCAAGGCATGTTAAAGCAATAGTTCTGCAAAAAAAATAATTTTCCCATTAGCACAAATGTAGTTGATTAGCCAAGACGTTTGGTGTCTGAGGTTTTGCACTGGGGATATGCAATAGCGTCTGATGTAGATGGGTATGTGCACCAGTTGGCTTTGTGCCAACTGGATGCCTAAATCATCACTCATTTGTCTCAAACCACATGAAGTTGTTAAGTAATCTTAAATAGACATTCTGGGTGGTTTCTTACTCTGAATCACATACTGTTCTTTATAAAACTGAAAAAAAGACTTCAGGATGGTTGCTACTACTGGTTTTAGCTATGCAATGCAATGCACTTCCATTTTATATGCATAGGAGTATGTAATGTTATTAATGTAATTGCTAAACTTTTGCTTTTAATATTCAACTATGAAAAATCAGACTGCATCAAAGTAGAAACAGTATAAATCAGAATGTAACTTAAGGCACAGTATTGAGCCTGGGCTTGACTGAGATTGGGGCTCTGTTGCCCACCACCCCTCCTTTCTCACTTCTTCCACTCCTCTACCCTCATCACTCACCTTTTATCTACTCTGCCCATCACCCTCACTTCCCTGTCTGCATGATCATTGTTTTTCTTTTCTGCCCGTCTCTGAACTGCTGTTTTACGCAGCACTCATGTATTACCCCCATTTTTTCCCCAGGAAAAGAAGTTTTCAATTTCATATGCATCTCAGCATGATTAAGTTTCGTTTGGCTTTTGTATTTCAGTGCCCATCTCCACAGAATGTTTCAGTTTGGCCCCATGCATTGTTTTACAGACCATTTAATTCCAGACAGCAGGCCAACGTTTTGATTGTGCTTGACAAACGCTCCATCAGCACCAGAGAAAGCTCTCTCTGAAACCGCAGAGCGCTGTGCATACTTTGCTTAATCTTTGCATCAGTAGTATAATGTTACTTGGACCTTTTCATTTTCCAGTTCACAGATGCTGTTTTTTTAAACAGCGCATGGTATGCCTGTATGCATCTGGTCGGTCTTAGACCTGGATTAGAGGCTGAAATCCCTCTCTTTCTTCAGAAATAAATGAGTGTGCCTCCTCGCCATGTGCCAATGGGGGTACATGCACAGATGAAGTAAATGGATTCGCATGTGAATGTGCCAAAGGGTGGGCAGGGTCTACTTGCCAATCCCCCACACCTACATGTAAGTATATTCACATTTCTTTAAGATTCTTTGGTTCATTAGCAGTAAATCTGTACACATCTCCAAGAGGGTTCAAGCGGCAACTTACTGTAAGCTTTGACAGCTTGTAGTCAAGGGAATGCAAGTCAAAACCAATGCAGGATACATTTTGTTTTTGAAACCAACTGCAGCACTCGGAAGAACACAGCCCCCCCACACTCATACACATGGGCTAATGGACTTCTAAATGCATCTTGACCTCCACACACTGCTGCAACTGTCCATAGATCTCATATTTGCTCTCTCTAGCAAGCTGGAGTCCATGAGGCTGCCATAAACACTGAACACTGCACAGATAGAGCTGCTCACGTCAGCTCAGAATCTTGATGACGCTGAGATATTTGCAGATCTGCACACAGTAACCCCCACTGTGTTGAATTAAGTCTTCATGAAGCCTGAATTTACATCAGCCGATAATATCTGTAATCAGCCTTTCACTACTACTTTGGCTTGTCTACATAAGCATTAAGCACATTTATAGCAATAGGTTGGTGAAAATTCAAATTTACACAGCTTTCACTTTAATGTAGTCAACCTGCCAAGACGCATTTTGTGTCTGAAGTTTGCTTCCTTAGTTTCTGCACTGGAGCTACAAGGTTAATGTAATTTGAAGTCAGTGAAAGCTTATAATTAATGAGTTTGCTCATGCGGCCACCCTAAAACCTGAATTTTGTCCAGACATTTGTTCATTTTTAAAGAGAACATTATGTCAGACCAAGTGAATATAAATGAGTGCTTAACTTGTGCACCTTACCTTATAAATGCATCCCTCTCTTCAGTTTTTGTCACCATAACCAACATGTCTGCTGCCACTGCTGGAGCTGCAGCTGCCACCTCCTTTCCCTTAGCAACCCCATCTCTGCTTGTGCGACCGTCCAAGTGCAGCCAGGTACAGGGCACCACCTACTGCACCTGTGAAGCAGGATACACCATTTCAGGCCGGGACACCAGCATCTGCACGGGTGAGTGCTGCATGGTGGATAACCAGAAGCCTCAAAAAATCCTGACCATCAATTCATACATTTAAAAATATATTTAACAGGTTTTTTATTTTACCTCACGTATTAGACATCTGAAAGAAATCTCTCCCCACCCTTATTGTAATTTTTATTGTTTAAAAATTCCTGAAACTCTAGGGCACATGCTATGGGACTGTCCTGAATGATTTTGGGGCTGAGTAGTAGAGGTAACTTCTAATCTAACCAAAGTGTAGTTTCCCTTGGACCCTGCTTTTGTGTTATAAATAGCGCAAATATCTAAATTACAGTGAAAGTCTTTGAAATTTGTTTAGCTAGTATGGCTGCAGCTAAAAAACTTAGATGTTCAGCGCTGGCTTCTGCCTCCCAAACTTTCAGTCAGGCAATGGTTACAATCTCTTCTTGATATCACATATCTAGAACTGTCTACAGCTAAGGCCAACCAAGGAAAACCTGCTACTTTGCAGATATGGAGAGAGGCAATGCCTGCAATTAAAAAAACTCCTCAGTTAAACAATTACCTCTTTTTTCTTATTTCTTCTTATTTTTTATGTAATCCTTCATCCTGTGTTCAATTTCATATGTATCTCAGCATATACAGGCACAAGATGGAACATTAAATGCATTAATTACATTCTATTGCACTGTTCAATTACAAAAAAAAGAAAGGATCAGAAAGTTCAGTGTTCTTGTTCAGAATGATAATATCACATACTCTGGATAATTTGGGGAAAGTGGTGTCCAGTCATTGCCCAGAAGCACTCCTGTCTTGCATATTCTGGTTTTCTCTGATCCAGTCAGTCATATTGAGTCAAGGGCCCATATCCTATCATTTTTCTTGTATTTTTTATGCTCTGAGATCCACTTATGACATTTTCCAGACTCTGTTTATCCCTAAAAATTTAACAGGTTGTTTAAATCAGGTTGGCGATGTGTTAGCTGAACAGCAGTATGTTATGATAGTGCTCATGCAGTACTTGTGAATCTGTGCAATTGTTTTATTGTCTTTTTCAGATATTGATGAGTGTGAACTGTTCCATAATGGGCAGGCAGGTCGTTTATGTTTACATGCTTGTGTTAACACCCCTGGTGGCTACCGCTGTACATGCCCTGTGGGATACAACGTGACACAAGATGGCCGCAGCTGCAGAGGTGAGTCACACATTTATTGAAAACCACTCTGAAAGGAATGCTTAAACCCCTGCGTTGCTGTTGTTTTCATACTTCAGCTGTAGGAGAACAAGCCAGAGACCTCTCTTCTTTATGCGTACACAGACTTGTCCTCTTCTTACTTGTAGATATTGACGAGTGCGCCACGAGGCAGAACAACTGCACCCGTGATCAGCTATGTGTTAACACTTATGGAGGTTTTCAGTGCGTTAAGGTGGAGTGCCCACGCATCCGAAATGCAACCTATGTCAAAACCTCCCCCACGTAAGTATATGTTGTCGCATACTTGACAAGGCTGTAAACAAAAGGCTGCTTAAAAAGGCAGCTTTAAAATTTGTTAGTTTGCAATATACAGAATGCTGCACTGATTATCAAAGGTTTTAAAAATGGTTTTTAGTAAATGATAAACATGAATAATGTTTAATTTGTTTCACACACAATATATGAGCCAAACCCCATGCTTCTTATTTAGTTGTTAATCTTAAGACCTACTATTTAGTAATTATAATAACACTAACATGTAAGTTATGTATTTATACGTGTGGGGAGTTCAATTGTAAAGCCACATACAGATCCAGACTGTCAATATGTTCTACTAAATTAAACAGAGAGTGCTGCTGGTAAGGAAATAAATGTTTAGTATTGATGGTGCTCTCTGGCCAGGGATTTATAATCTAGAGAAAAAAGTGAAAAGCCATGGCACTCATTACTGAAAGCCTTTATTATAACATGGCTATAGACGAAAAAAAAATCTCTCAATGTTTTGGCTTTTTTTTTTTCATCAGGGAGAGTCACCACATATGTTTTATTGACAGTTTAGAGAGTGTAACAACAGCTTGGAAAAGAAAATTGCCTAATCATTATTAAGGCAAAACAAACTCCTCATTGCAAGAAAAACACTTTAATGAAGATGAGTAATGTTACAAGATATACCCAAAGTATTGATAGCAGTTCACTGTTAATATTACCTTTGCAGGCACAGTACTGCGCAAAAGTCAAAGACCCCCCCATGTATTTAATTTCCAGTCAAAACAGCCATTAAGTACAAGTTATTGATTATTGTCAGGGAAAAAGTAGAAAACGTATATTTAACAGATTAAAAAAAAATAATTACACAGAAGCCTCAACAACTGAACATAATATAATTTTTTTCTGTATAGTGTGTCCATCCTGTGCTTTTCCCCCTGGTTTTCATGTCTACCCTCTACCTTAGTCTCCCCCAGTCACAGGTTAGTATTAGCGGTAGGAGGGTGAGTCATGTAAAGCCAGCCACCACCCTTTCAAACTGCCTCTAACGCAACGTCTTTGGACACCTAAACGCACTTTAAGAGAACTAAATGCCAGTTCTGTTACGTCAGCTATCAGACATCTGTGCTGGCTACCATCACACTAAGTGGTGTGGGGAGAGGGAGGGCCATCCTACAGTTTCTATTTTTTTGTGAGAGTTACTTTCAGGTTTTCAAAGAAATCTTCAGGATATTTTTCCACCTCTCCAAAGTTCAGTCTGACACTGGTTGCATTTTCTGCTTCTCACAATCTAAGTAATCATAAATACATTTAATTATGTTCAGATCTGGACTCTGGGGTGGTCCGTCCAATGTTCTGAGAACACCAGCAGCTTTTTGTTTGATTTGCAAATTTTCTTCTTTTTTGTCTATTTCTTTTCTTTTTTATTATTTTAGTTTTTTCCATTCTTTTTCTCATTTTTTCTATTTCTAGCTTCTTGACAGCTGTGGATACCTGTGGATTTTCAAAGATAAAAGCTTTAGGAACTGTAGGTACAGTTTATCTGATGGTGACAGTTTTGGTGGTCTATCAGGTCTTGCGTGGTTGTTAGGAGTTGCACATTTCTCTGTACCTTTTAATAATTTTTTGAAGTCCAGTTTTGGAATTCTTTTTTTTTTCACTTATTTTTCTTTGCTTTTCCCCTTCCTTACACAAGTGGACAATCTTATATCTAACCCTCTCAGCAATATGAAAACCAAATAACTTGTTCTTACTTCCCCTTTTGACTGGAGATTATATAAATCAAGGATGGTCTTTGACTTTTGTACAATGCTGTATTTTTTTAACAATAACAGTGAAAATCTAGGAGAATTTTAAAGAAAGAAAAAACAAAATGGATAGTTTGTACTGTTACGAAACTTTTGCTCCTGTTGATCCAGGCGCTGTGAGAGGAACCCCTGTCCTGTGGACAATAAAGCTTGTTCACAGGCTCCCAACTCCGTGTCCCATCACTACATGTCTGTGGTATCTAACCTGTCTGCCCCGCGGGTCATGTTCCGGGTCTCGGCCGTGCGGGTGCTGGGAGACACACTCCGCTTCGCTTTGCTGGGGGGCCGCGGTCGCCGCCACTTCACCGTGCAGCGCTCTGACCGGCAGACGGGTCAGCTGATGCTGGTCAGCCCCATCCAGGGTCCGGCCACATTGGAGGTGGAGGTGGAGATGAGTGAGCTGGAGAGGAGAGTGCAAATTGGCTGCTACATCACCAAAATCACACTCTTCGTGTCGCAGTACGAGTTCTAGAGCCTGAAGTTTCTGGAGTTCTGAGGGGTTTAGGAGGAGTTTGGAAGGATGTGTCTTGTATGTGGGATTAAAACCCTAAAGACCCGGTCAGTGGGTCCAGACTCTTCACTCTGATAACCTTACACATCCGTTTCATAGTAGTTACTGGATAATGAGCCTTAAGACTATGAAGGCTTTTATACACTAAGTAACAGTACATTGTTGCAAACTAAGATAATATTTTGGAAAATCTTCTTTGGTTAGGCTAGATGCCATGTAAACACGTGTTGGTTGCTGGCACATTGACTTGATATATTTTAGAAACTTCAAAAAATTTTTTGGCCTGCAGCGTACGTGTGAACGCAAATCTGTCAAGCGCCTCAGTGCACTCCAAGGCAAACAGGACATTCCTGGTTGTGTAGTTGCATTCATCTGTTGGTGTTTTCTGACAATGGAGAGAAAAATTCCAGAGAGAATTTAAGCAATTCCCCCAGCTATGGACAGCTCTTAGCACAGCTGGGCCTCAGACATGAATCCCAGCAGAGTAGCACATGAGCTACTTGTGGGGCATGTCATATGTGTATGAGCAGTATTTACATTTCTAGACATTTCTACATTCCTGGACGTGTCAAAAAGGTTTGGCTAGGCAGTTACGATGAAGGCTGTAGCTATCAGGACTGTAGTTACTGCTGCCTGCAGTGCAATCAAAAGACAAAAGGCTCTGTGCAAACATACTTAAAGCTAGATTACAAACTTGTTCTTTTTGGGACCAACATAAGGAGGGTGAAAGTAGTTTCAGGGCTTATGGTGGTAATTTCACTTGCCATCAGAAATAAACTGAACATTTGATTGCTCAGTCTGTGGGCAGTGTGAGTCACTGTTGTACTTTATAACCTTTTCAGTGTTAAGATATTTATTTTAAAGCATTGATTTCTCCTGTTTCTTAAAGTATAATGCTTCAAATACACAAAACTATCACTCCAATAAAGATTCTATCTACATAACATGTCTGTGACTTTAAGTTGCTGATGAAATTTACTTACACTCTTAAGAATATGTGCCAAAAGGGTGATGGCATGGAAGAAACAATTTGGGAGAACCTTTCAATGGATGGCACTTTAAAAAAACGTTTTTGTGAATGAGATTTGTGAGATGGTCTCCACATGAAGCAAAGGTTTTTCATAAAACTATACTTAAGACAAGAACAATGCACCCTCTAAAACGCTGTGAATATACTGTGGAAACCCTGCAGTAATTTAGGGGTTTCCTAAAACACAGCAGAAGATAAACAAAATATATTTTCCTGAAACTCTTGCCAACAAAGGTATCTAAGGGAGTCTACTATAAATATGAAATAGATGCTGCCTATAAACAATACCTTACTGTAACAAGGACACACAGTGTTGTTGATGGACGTACTGTGCTTATGAAGCATCAAAAACTATTTGACTGCTAGTGGTGCCCCCTTGTGGAGGATTTTCAGCCTGCTAAACATGAGGGAGTGAGTGAGTCACAAGCCAGTTCAGTGAAGAGCTTTGCATCTGAAAACAGTTAACAGTTAACTTTAGTGAATTAAAAATGCAATAACAACCCGTGTATTTTTATTACAGCAATGTGCTGTGATTTTGAATGGCAGTACCAATAAACAACATTATTGCCTACTGGCTGCCAGTTCATTACTGCATTTTTCAAAAAAATGTTTTCCTGTGCAGAGTGTATAGGGAAAGAGGGTGCAAGAGGGTTCTTTCAATTTTTTGTTTTTGTAACGGGAAAGATAGTAACTTGGCATCTGAACATTAGGCAACATCCTGAGCTTAGAAATAGAAGCTAGAGTGTGAGAGAACTTGAGGAAGTTCTGGAAGACATTAGGCCTGTGACACAAAGCTGTGCTTTTCAGCAATGAGGCAGCGAGCAGAGGTTTCAGTCAAAGAGCCACTGTGTTCATGCACTCCACCGATTAATGTGTATTTATGCAGGGGACAGTAAAAACAGCAGAGTTCTCTGGTATATTTAGACAGTCGGCGAGATGTGATAAATCTGAGCCGTGTGTGGTATCCCTCCACTGCCCCTCTTGCCGTAAATGCTGACATGTGTATGTGAAAGTGTGTGTGTATTTACATGAATAAGAGTTTTTACTTTTGACCCAAAATAGCTGAGCGATGTCTGTGGATGAAAGCAAAAAATGTTTCACCCACATGTCACACAACATCCCATAAAACAGCCATTTGCCAAAGCATCTACTTTCTGACACACAGCAGCTAAGCTCAGTTGGGAATGGAGAAAACATATAAAAGTGATGTAAATGGATAATAGCTAAACAAATCAAGATGTACTGTCTAAACTACATATCTCTGTAAAGAGAGCCTTATGGGGGTGTCATCTGACAGTCTGTGAATTTGCAAAGCACTGGATGGTAACTGCAGAGAAACCAATGAAAAGGACGGCAGAGTGTGAGAATAACTGATGGCTGAATGCTTGTGACTGACTGCGAATAGGTTGAATAGAGAGAGATGCACACCATCCCTCTCTCATCATTTTTTTGTTTCTACAGAGGGCCTCCTATTTTTCAGCTGTCAGAGCCGTCTCTCTATGCTGAAAGGGCTTCTCCCCCCTCGATCACTCCAACTATCTCACAATCTGACTGCATCTCTACCACCAATCCTGATATGTAGGAGAGAGAAAAAGGCAGAGAGAAGAAGCAGCAAGAGGTCTAAAGTGCAAAGTGAATCCCATGTTCTCTGTCTCTGAGATGTCAATCAAAAGAAATTGAAGTCATGGTGTTTGTAGAGTAAGCCTAAAATTTACATAGTGTTCTCACTTCATATTGCCTTGAGATAACTTTAACACAGAACTACTACAACTGTTTTAGAACTATATATTTTTTTGCAAAATAAATTAGTAATTGTAAGTGACTGATATATACATTTCAGACTGTTCAGGTGACGAACCAAACACCACAGAAGATGCAATAGTATCATCTAAAATGTACCTTTCTTACCTTGTTAGTTCATGTCCCTGGTTATATATTCAGCACAATTCAACTTATTAAAAATACAAAATCCACATTTTCCCATAATCTCCTATCAGAGTGTAATGACTTTGCCTATGGAGTAGGCCTGTAAAAAAAAACTGAGTGCATATAATTCGCACATTCAGAAACAAGGTGTGGGATAGAAAAGCTTGATTTTGATCAGGCAGCACTAACAGAAAACAAATCGAACTTCATTTTCTAAAATAAGCAGCTTAATAAATGTCTTTAATAAATAATTCTGTTGATTGGGTAAGCCTACCCAAAGGCTATGTGCTTGCTTTGGCCTCTAAAACATTTTCAGATTTTTGATTATGTCACCGTGCACCATTGGCCAGGATTAACCACCTTCCTCTCCCACCACCCCCACCTAACATTCAGCAAAAATGCTCAGCTACCTCAAAGGCTCTCCCTAATGTGATGTTTCACTCAGCAATACATTACAGTGCAGAAGGAAATTGCATTATGATTTCCAATTTACCTTGACTTTAGTAGATCAATCTATGCTCTGCCTGCAAATGTGTTTCGTGATTGTTAAGTTGGACAAGATTTACAGAGAGTTATCAACATACACATTCAAACTGATGAGAAATTGCAGTAGTATTTCTTAACATTGACTTTTCAGGTTTAAATACTGCAATACTTAGCTGGACTGCTGTTGTAGCTAATCAAAACTGTGCAGTCTGGAAACGACAATGAGAAATTTGTCACATAAAGAAAAAAAATACAACCATCTATCCCAACAGTGTGATTCTATACACATATACAGAATGAACATCATTATAAATGAATCATGCACTCTAAACATAGGTATTCTGACAAAAATTAGGTTGACTTCTTCCTAAAACTACCCTATGTAAGATATGAAGATTTGGAGACCTCTCTGGAGGAAATGTGTAACTGCACGCAATATTTTAACGTCGGTTGTGCATCCTCTTTCATCAATACATAAAGATGTATTTTTGATGTGGTTTCGAAGAAAAAGGTGTTTTGAAACCCCCTGCAAAATCTGACCTGACCACTCTGACTTGTACATTATTATTTCTGCCATTACTGGGTAAGCAACGCGTTTGCTGTATTTTAGCATTTTTTTTCCTCCTGTTTCAGTAATGCTACTTCTTTCAATTTCAACAGATCTCACATAGCAGCTTTAAGTTGGGAAAGGGAGAAAAGCTTGTAAAATATGTTCTGTAAAGCTTGTGCAGCCTAGCAACAGTTGTTATTAAAGAACACATTCGTGGGCAGAATATAGAGAGGTCAGTTGATACACACTTGCACAGTATCTGTGGTTCGTGAAAGTGCCTATTTGCTGAGTAGAATATGACCTAGAATATGAATGCTGGATTTAAATGCAGTACACTGCAAAACCTAAAGGTTAAAACCATCGCAGTAATAATACAGAGCTAACTGTGCAGCTGTACCACAATGGTGAGCCTATTTCGTATCGTCCCTTTCTCATAACCTAATCCTATCTCCCTGCTATAACCAGCCAGAGATGAGGAATAAAAGAAAGAAAGAAAGAACTCATCCAGAGCACCTGCCCCGTCCCACTAACCTGGATCTGATAGTAATCCAACACCCGCCTTCCCACAGCACGAAGAAAAACCTGGCACAGCACGGCTTCCGTCTGCCACACATACCGACCTCAAAGCCACCGGTGATCTGATCCAATCAGGTGCTCTTACAGAGCTGGATCAGATTTAAAATGAGACAAGCCACGCTACCATTCTGGATGGCCTGGACCTGTCCTGCTGGAAATGTACACCAAGAGGAGAAAAAAAGAAAAACATATATAGTACTGTATGTGAGGAAACTGATACCTAGTCTCTGTAGCGTTCCAGCAGTGACAGAGCCAATGATAATGGTGGAAGCATTAAAGAAACTTGGAGAGTAAGGGTAGTATCCAATGATTCAAAGCCTGATGAAAAGCTTGGCCTTTTTCTGATGACACATCAGGATCTTTTTCTCTTATACAAGGTCACTATCACAAAATATACTTCAGCTCAAAGAAAAGTACAGGGCCTCTTCAAGTTCCTATCAATCTTGAGAGTCCTTCGAACCTCTTCTCTGCAATAACTTTCTCTCTGGCAGCCTTACAGAACCTGAATTGGTACATGGTCTATGAGTGACAGACCCTGTCTGTTTGGGTAGGCCTGACCGTCATTGGGGTGTGCTTTGGCCTTGTGTGGGGATGTGGGATAGGAAAGCTTGGCATTGGCTCAGCTTATTCAGTCAAGTGGAGGGGGGGGGGGTGCTGGCACTGCAATGCCATTCTGTCACAAGAATAGTGGTAATGCAAGTCCTACAAAGTTTAAATTGTGCCCAAGTTACTTGGATGGCATAGGCAGGGGTCATCAATTAGTTGGCCAGAGTCTAGCACACATTTGTGGTTTTCCTGCTCACACACAATGGATTCAACTCACCAGTTAGTTACTAGGTTTAGTTTGTGTGTTAGTGCAGGGGGATCAGACTGTGCTGGACTTTGGCCCTCCAGGACTGCAACTAATGGCCCCTGACATAGGGATGCTTGGTAATATTGGTCAACTAAGGTAAGAATGCCTATCCAGTAGCACCAAGTGAAGGGGTGAAATTATTTATTCAGTTAATTGTGGATTCAGTTGCAATTGATGCAAATTAAACTTATATGAAGAAAGGACAAAACTGTATATAAAGGCAGTGGTAGTACTGGACCAGAAGTGAGAACCACTTTGCTAGACCATTAATCACCTGTGCAGCCTACATCTTATTGTGAGATCCAGAGATCTACTGCACACTCACTATTTCAGGTCTAATAGCAAAAAGCTAGGAGTCAGACTCAAGAGCTGCTAGCCTTGCTTAAGCTAACAAGATACTGCTGTAGAACAAGACACTTGCATATTACTTGCAGTGTGCAGTCTGAGGGAGCATTTAGCATTCTATGAATTTATAATTCTTTCCTGCAAGTGAACCAACCTCTAGACCTTTAAGTTAAAAGTGGAACAAACTTTTAGTGCCTGTGAAATGAAAATGACCACACAGGTTAATGCATTCAAAAATGAATACAGACAGACAATCAACACAGACTAACACTGCATTAAGAGCTAAAGATGAATATTGGGATTTCGACAGGCAACAGGACACACTGCTGGCACAAACTAGGAAGCTTCAGAAGCTGAACCAGGCCCTGAGGAGTAATACTGCCCCCTAATGTAAAAACCAAAGCAGTGCACCCGCAACTAAATTTAATACTGAAAAAATACAAAAAAAAAACAAAAAACACACAACCCAGAGCCATTTAATGTATTTTGTTTTATTATCAACAATAATAATACAGATACAACAAAATACCTGTACAACAGATTATAAATACATGAAGTACAGTGGAGCAAAGGCAAGTCATAATAAGAGACTCTTTTGATTCTAGGAGACAAGGTGGAAAGGAGTTTCACTTGAGATGCAAAATACAGCAACCAGAAATAAAAGCAGTACAGAAGTAAACAACACGGCACAACTTATCAGATGCTCCAAGTGCATTGGAATAGAAGACAGCTTACTATTACTATTTTCAAAAAAAAAATCTGTATGTAGATAATAGATCATAGATTAGTCAGCGCAAGCCCTGCACGTACATTCTCCCAGCTATGGTTAACTTTTCAACAAAATTCACTGAAACCAGATGCTTAAGTCTTGAGAATCATTACAATTATTGGGAGAAAAAACTGGTTGATTATAGTGTTCACAGTCTGAATCTCTGGAGGAAAAGTAATCTTCTAAGATTCATGCTGTTTTTTTTTTTAAATTGTAGTCTAAAACCCTGCCCCCTTCATGCTCTGTACTCAGCATATTCTGAACTAGCAACAACTGACATTTTCTCATAGTTCTCAAAATAAAAGGCACATGTGCAGAATATCCTTAAGGTGCACAATAGATAGCGTTTAGTCTCTGTATCAACTCTTCAATGGATGAAGAGACAGACATTGATACAAGTGCCACAAAATCTCACTGTAAAGAAATAAAACATCAAATTGTTCCTTTGAATCATGCTTCTGCCCTACTGCAACAAACAAATGGAGGCTCAGAAATGTATTTATAATGCATACAACATGATGTACTGTAATTATAACGTATATTAGGTCTGGAGTAGCATGTGATTTGGCTGATTTACACCAAATGCATATTAGCCTATACTAAGCAGCCATTGGTGAAGTCAATGTGTGGTTTGTGGCTCAAGGCATCTCCAGATTCCATGATCAGTCACAGTTCAATGTTTTGTATAGTGTAGTGAGTAACACCTCTGCCCTCTTTACTGTAGACTAGGGTTTGACCCCCGCCTGGGCAAGCACCCTACACTATACCAATAAGAGTCCTTGGACGAGACTCCTAACACTACCTTTGCCCACCTATGTAAATTCTAAGTTTCTCTGGATAAGAGCGCCTTGCAAATGTAAATGTTTCTGTGCTCTCACAACCACCTAGACTTTAAAATACTGCTTAGATAGGAGTCTGTAGATTCTAGAGACTTCTAAGCACTATTTTAAATGCTTTAAAAGTTTTAAAATGCAACTCTTCATCTTGAACCACATAGTTTACAATGGCAAAAATCATCATGCACATCTACACTGTACAGCTGACTCAAGATCTAAGAACAAACACAAGCGCTTAGACCATATATTCTGGGTAGAACAGTGTTATTCCCTCACATTCTATGATATTCAAACAATAATATATCTCTCTCTCTCTCTCTCTCAAACAGAGCAGATCACCTCTGTTATACTCGATTGAATGAGATAATGCAATAAAAACACTCGTATGACGGAAAATCTGAGCAGTACCTTACCAGATAATTAGCAAAGTTAGGACTACATTAACCCAAGTAGTAGATCCACTACAGAGGAGTTAAAATGTGCAATAAAAGCAAGTCTTCAATTACTTTGCATTGCACACTGATTAAACCATTTAATTTCTAAGTTTGAACAAATTAGGGATTTATTAGTATATCTTTAGCATAATGACCTTCATCAGGCAGTGCAACAGAACAGTAAACGCAACATTTAGTACAAAAACCACTTCAATGAAGTAAAATGACTTTCTAAGAGTGTTTCAGTCCTAATAAATTGAGAACTATAAGGTGCATTTTTCAAATTATAATGAAGTGCATTCTCCTGCACCAATAAAGAATAGTAATGTTTAAAAAAAGGTTTAGACATGAGAAGCTGATTTGTAGCAACACATACTATTCACCAGATTCTATATACACTACCTGCAACCGCATACATAGACATGTAGACACAATATAGACACAGAGAAAGTGCCGATTTCTGATAATCACTAATGCAGTCGAATCAAGCAGGTGAACCGATCTAGCGACATCTGAATTTCCAATGTTTGAGTTACTTCAAGTTCATAAACATTGACTAAAAAGACCTGTTCATAAACAGCAACAGTTTCTCTGAAATGTGCTTTTATACAGGACTAGAACTACATTAACAACAATTAAATGTGATTTTCTTGTGGACACCTGCCTATTAAGAGGAGATAATGATATCCATTAAGAGGAACCTTAAAAGTGCTATACAAATTTCACATACCAAAAAGAATCTTTTGTACATTCTGTCCACATACAAAAATACATCCCTTTATTTGAAATATACCCTAGATGGCTTGGTTTTTGGTTAGAGATCTACAGTGAAAACATGCACCAAGACCAAAACATATATGAAAACTAACATTTTTCACTGAAGAGGAAGATGACAAAAGCACCATAAACTACTACAATGATCGCGTGGACATCATCTTACCCCGTTTTTCTGACACCCTGTTTCTCATTCACCAGAAAAGCCTCAGATACCCCACAAGCCTTTTCGTATTAGTCAACATACAACTAAACAAAGGGACCACTTCAGTCAAAAAGACAATCAGATGGGCAATAGTTCTGTTAATTAACTTGCAGTCTATGGTACTGGTGCAGACAAAGAGACAGGAACCACAATCTTAGGTTCCTTACTTATTTGGTCTTTTTCTCTGTAAAACGGAAGATGCTGCTCCAGCTCTTTTTGTGCGTTAAAGCAATGGGAACAGATCAGTCGACATAGATCAGACTAACTGTTCAAATCCAGAGTAGACCACTGAACCTGAAGTCCCAAAAGACAGAAAACACAGAAAGAGAGTTCTCACAAGTTGAAACAAAAACAACTATAGCCCAATAGTATGAGAAAGACTGACTAGACACAGCAGCGAGGATCCTGGCAGATCATTTGGTGTGTAACAGTTATTGCACTTAAGAGGCAAAGCAAGAAATAATAGAACCAACAGGACTGACTGTGCAACGGGACAGAGAGGTTGGCACTGAGAGCGCAGTATGAGAGGATAAAAAGTGGAGGTGTATGTATTAAAAGCCATTGTACTAATCCCGTTCATTAATTCAAACCCTTAAACTGGGTCTGCACCTCTCCACTAAGGTCGGTCTGCCTCCTTACTTTCCCTGAAAGTTGCTCAGTTCAATGTCATCTTTACGCCGTCTCTGCTGGGCGAAAAGTGAGCTGAAAGGATAAAGTTTGGCTTTGGCTGGGTACCTCTGGCCAGCAATGTCCACCTCATAATCACCACGGTTGATGAAGTCAGGAGTGACTACAGTGGGGGTGCCATCTAGACTAGGTGGGCTGACGAAGCCCAGACACACATGGCGCTCCAAGGTGTAGCTGTAGGCGCTGCTAGTGGTCACTCCCACTAGCTCACCATTGCGGTAGATGGGCTCGCCCCACCAGGGCCATAGGTCCAGCTCAGTGTCATGATCTTCCAAGACCAGCATGATGAAACGGCGGGTGACTCCCTCCTGACGCTGCTGCAGCAAAGCTTCCCTACCAAGAAAATCTGTGTGCTGAGTGAGAGAGAAAAGCAGAGAAAGAGACAGAAAGAGAGAGAAAGAGAAAGAGAGGGGTGCATATTTAAGTAAAAAATTTTTTTGCAAAGTTTATTTTCAAGCTTTGAATCGTCAATACAAATTTTAAAATGCACCCACAGAGAGGATTTTTTTTTAGCTTTCCCAGCATAACTGATGCGTATAAACAATGTTTAGTAAAAATAAAACAAGCAATACAAAGATATACCAGTTCTATCTATAAATCATTAGTAAAAAAAACAAACAATTAAATAAACACAAAATAAAGGACAAAAAAAAAGTGACAATTGTTAGGCCCATTACGATAAATGCTCATAAGTAGCCCGCTGAGAGTAACTGGACAGAAGGACTACAAAAACAGATTATTACTCACTTTGTCGAACTTGACACGGAACTCACGACCACATTCAAGGGGTGTAGTGAAGGAGTCCAGATCCTGTCCCCAGAAGGCAAAGAACTTCTCAATGCGGAGACTACGCAGGGCATAGTAGCCTGCGTTACGAATGCCATACTTCTGACCCACTGCCATAACCTCGTTATACACATGCAGTGCATACTGGGGAAACAAATCAAGTTACAAAATAAAAAAAGGCCACATTAAGAGCAAGTGGTAAAGCAGTATGTGTTGCAACTCACCTCTATAGGGATGTACAGCATGAAGCCTGGCTCTCCAGTGTGAGTCATACTCATTACCCTGATTCCATTGGCATAGCCCACACTCATTTCCTGTAGTGACCACAAAACGCTTTCAGAAACATGCAGCACCAACAAAACCTTTACAGATAACATTTCCATCTGCAACCACTATTACTATTATTTTTAGGCACAGTGCTATTAGTCCTAGAATCAAAACAGCTGAACTCATAAGTGAAACATCCACTTTGCCATTATGTCAGCAGTAAGTAAACCTTGCAAAGAGACAATGGCCCTTATTCATCAACGATGAGTGTTGTTAAATCTGACTGTAAAATGCAACGTTTTGGTATTTGTCATTCATGCTTGATTTGTGGTTAAATAATCAAAATTATGAATATTATCAGTAATAACAAGAAAAACAAAATTGTAATACTAAAAACTGTGAACACACTGATCCTTGTACTAAAGCGGAAGCACTTATGTACACAAACAAACGCTGCAACTACTGATATTCTTTTAAAGACATATTGCACTGTGCTTTCACTTTTTACTACTGATACAGTAAATTTACTACCACCTCAAAAATACAAAACATAGCTTACCTAGTTCAGTAGAAGACACTTCATGTACTGCAGTATTAGAACTCAAGCAGCCAGTATTTTAAAAAGTATTTACACTACATAAACACTTCATTCTACCATTTTAAACAAAGCAAAGACATTTTCATTTCACATTATATTATTACTTTCAACATATGTGATTTTAACACCACAAAACTATTTAGGCTTTGGCAAACTCTGTCTATGAGACCAATCATTGGCTGTTAAATGCTTTCCTTTTACTGGCTCACTACCAAAATATTTGCATGAATTAGGGCTGCTTCATGTAGATTATATGAATGTAAGAGCAACATGGGGCATGTCTTTTCCAAATGATATGTTAATAAGGCATTAGTGTGCAGGCACTTGTTTTCACATACAGAAGATCATTTATAAGTTGGGCTCAAATCACCACTTATTTTGACAACAAACAACAGTTACATAAATCAGGCACAAAGTAATTTCTAAGTCAATTAGGGTGGTCAAATCGGTGGTTGTTTTTATGCAACTCTGATGAATAAGGGTGACTGCCTGCCACTCACCTTACAAAACAAAGATGGGAAGTGCTCCGGAGTCATAGAGACATAAGAGAGTTCAGATAGCACATCCATCGCTCGGGGGCCAATCAGATTAAGAGCTGCAAGGGGTGACATGTCAAAGAGGAGAAACTGCACAGTTCTCACAGCACACAAACTGCTGCTACCAGCCTTCTTCATGTTAAGCACTAAGTGTAACTTGACAAAATATAATGTAGAAATTTAATCAACAGAAACTTTTTAAAAATAAGCTTCATATGTTTCATTCTGATAAATGTATTATGTCTCTCTCACCGGTGAATTTCCAGCTGACATCCTCTAGGTGAAGCTGGGTATCACTGGGCATGTGCCTCTTTATCCAAGACCAGCAATGCACTTGTTGATCCGTAGGGGAGATGATAAAGAAACTAGTGGGTCACACAAAAATAAAACACAAATGTGACACTTTATAAATGACAGTTTTGAACAATGCTTCAAAACAATATTTTTGTTGTTTTGAGAGAGTCCACATCAGGAATAGACAAAAAGCTATAAAATGGGATTTCTTCCATTATGAAAACCTTTGGCAAACCTAGACATGCTCCATTCCTTTAAATTAAGTAGAGAGGCCTTCTCACCTTTTCAGGGCACACAGGCATTAAGCTAAATTTCTTCAAGAAAAATACTTTGCCCCAAGAATCCAATCAGATGGGACTGTGTGCCTGTGCTTAGAAAGAAATCAAGAAATACAGTGATCTCTTGACCAACCTGTTTTTACTAAGGCGCACCACGCTGCAGTCATTTTCATAGCCGCCCCTCTCATTGAGCATGCCTGTGTGGACAATGTGACCTACGGGAACATCCAGGTCATTGGCACACAGCCTCTGGAGCAACTCTAGGGCTTGGTCCCCACTTGACTAATAGTGATAAGGATTGAAGAAAAGGACAGGAAGTTAGAGTTTCAAAATGTACGTACACACGAATTTTGTTAAACGCACAGAAACGCTAATACTAAAATATTATTTCAGTTTCAGTTTCTGGCTGGAAATGCAGCCAGTACAGACCCCAATTGTTTCCACTTTGCAATTTAATCAAAACTAAAAAAAATAAATAAATAAATAAATCACTTTTTCTCAATAGTAGAACTTTAATGGCAACATTCTGCATATTTGATATGCACTCTCTTGCTCTTCTGTCATAAAAAAGCATTACTGCAATTATTACAAACATTACAAAAATCATCATTCATTATTTTGGAAAGCTACATAAAGCACAATCGCAAACATTGTTCTGTTAGCACAAACAGTCAGCATTCACTGAATAGCTGATTTGTCCTACAAAAATGAATAAATATGCAATTCCTTAAAAAGCTCCCAGTGACTGAGAACGGTCATCTTATTTCAAACATTTTTGAAAGCTAGTAGTAAAAAAAATGCATTTCAGCTGCTCACATCTGCATGCTTTGTGAGCCGTTGGACAGCAGAGTGGATAAAATACTTGCCCTTGCCCTGCATGCAGAAAACCACTCAGCTTGGGACTTCTCTGTGCTAAATGATAGGCACAACTCCTAAAGCTAAAAAGTATTGCAGACATACTACACATTGACGTAGTTACTCACTGTGAGCTCAAACTTGGTGAAGGAGGACATGTCTATGACACACACTGCCTCCTTACAGCACTTCACCTCAGCACCAACAATGTCAAACCAGTCTGGCTTGTAGAAGGTTTTACTCTGGTCCAAGGCCAGCAAATCTGCAGTAAGGCAAAGGTTTAGGGCAGAGGGAAAGAGAAGGAGCATCTTAGAAACAGTACTGTTATCTCTGTGATAAAGAACATGGCAAAAGCATACTGTTCTTTTTCCTTCATAAATGTCTTGGTATGTAATTTCAGTATCTTAAAAGGAAAAATCAAGCCTCTCACGATCTAAAGTGAACAAATGAAAAATTGTTTGACATCAATATGCATTTGCACACTAAGACTGCTATTTAAAAGTAGATGACCTATTAAAATCAAATCACAAGTCACAAGCCACTCACCCTTTCCAGCAGGGACAAAATATTTGGCACGCTCAAAGCCATGCTTCTCCATCCAGCGAGCTCCCTGGGTGTCTAATCGGTCATACAAGGGGCTGGTGCGCAGCTGCCGGCCTGTCTGGAAGTCCCACCTTGGAACTTTCAGCTCATACAGCAGGGCTAAAGCAGTGAAAGAGGGAAATGGAATAAGAAAGAAAATGCTTAATACTCAGAACAGAAAAAGAAAGAAATCACACAAACAAAATGATGGAAAGACTGTGTAACACAAATGGACTTTTTTTGCTCTCAGCTCTGTTTCAGTCACATTTGCAATGCTGTTTTACATTTAGCCAGTTTATAGTGGAAAATTGGACCAGTCTTCAAAAAAGAACACAAATCAGTACCACAGTGAACAGATGGAGCAAACAATGTGGGCTGAAGCCTGAAGACAAAAAGTGAAAACAACATGATTCTCCATCATCTGCTTCTGTTATTCTGAATTGTATTGACAACTAACTCTTCAAAAGAGTTAAACTTGACCAAACTTGAGTGTGATTAATCATGATTAATAAGATATGATGAAACAAATGAATAATAACAAAAGAACAATTTTGTCCAAAACGTTCTGAAGAATTGTGTGTGCAATAACCAAATCTTTCCAAGTCATGTATGTACAGTTCACAAATCACTAATGTACTGTGAACTGCCAATGGCACAGAAGTGTTTTCCGAGTGTTTTGATAAGAAGGCTTCACCAAAAAACAAGGACTATACATTTAGGTTTTATTCAAGGAGGATCCTTTGCACAAAGAGGTTAACATTTATGCAAAGGATCAGCATGTGTTTTCAGTAGCTTTTTGTTCTTAGAACACACCATGGTAAACTTTTTTCAGTACTTACGCATGACCTCCATCACACGATGGCGCAGAAAGGTTCGGCTGCTCTGCAGATTGCCAAAGCGCTTGATGTCCAGAGGCCAGACATTGGCACTTGGGTAACCATAGGTCATCCATTCAGCCAAGTACCTGATTGTAATATAAGAAAAGGTTAATATAAAGATTTTTTTTTAATTCTTGAACAATAGAAGATCCCAGAATAAAAACAGTAAGTAAAACTAGCTCAGCTCTTTTCTTACTTTCCAGCTCCTCCTGCAAAGGACAGGCCAGAGGAGTTCATGCCAGCCAGGACAAAGTAACCATGCACGCCTGGAGTCTCCCCCATGAGACAGCGCATGTCTGGAGTGAAAGACTCTGGACAGTTCACCAGCTGGTGGATCTCACAGGAGTCCAGGCTTGGCATTCTCCTCAGAAGGGCACTTAACATGGGCTCTGAAGAACAGAACACAGAAAACAAAGAGAAGGACAAATGATCAAAACTAAGATTGTTGCAAAGCAAACAGCAACTATCAGAACAGAATATCATGGCAAATTTGCTTTAAGATGTTGAACAGAAATTAGACAAGACAGAATCTGAACTAATACACAGGCTGTGGAACAGTGAAAATATTGTTTCTGACAATTGAAAATATTTGCACCCAACCTTGACAACTTCATACAAATGTAAACAAATGCCATGACATGGAGTTAAACAATGAGAGACAGATATTGAGGCAATAAGTAATTGTCCTGTTTGGTTTGCTTTCAAGAACATTTCAGAATACAACCTGTGAAGAATAAATATGGTGTTAAATTAATTCAACACAAACAACCTTTCATAAATTAATTATCTAGAAGTAAAAATGTTTTATATTTAAACACAGTCTCACTTAAAATGGGTAAATACACTTTTGTTTGTTCACAGAGACAGTTCTTGAAAATCTGATCATGTGAATCTACATTTATTCTCTTTGTCTGCAATATTCCTATAAATGTTCTCACTCTACCAGAAAAGAAAACTAAAAAAGAGAAAATGTAAGTTAAAGGTAAATGTAAAGTGAATGTCTTGCTAAGCTGGACTCACCAAAATGGTCCCAGTCCTCCTGCATGTTCTGGATCTCTAACTGATTGCGACCCTCGGTGAAGATTGGTTTGGGGTTCTTTTCAAAGCCTCCTGACAGAACACCACCCTGCCAGGCCCGTACATAGATCCGCCCATCCATATCCATCACCACTATGTAAAGTCACAAGTCTGCATTAAGTTCAATCTTGCAATCTCTCCATCACAGCCTAAAGCAATGCAATGGCACAGCAGGCACCAGAACTGACAACAAGCTCTGCTTTATTCTGTATAAGTTATTTGCTTCATTTTGCTATATTATTCAATTGTTCAATTATGCAATGAATTGCATTTACATTAAGGTTGCAATCTGTATGAACAGGTTCTGGACTTTTTTCCTTTGGTTTGATGTCAAAAACAGCAAAGACATGGCAAAATGTAAAGGATGATAACTTTCAAGTTCAGATCTTAATAAAACATTGTTGGTTTTATTACAAACAAAAATGTGGTACTGACTGAAAGTTAAGAATCTGCACTTCTGACAGAAATTCTCCACTTTTTCAATTATCTACATGTGAGAAATAATTAACATGGAATTACTCCATGTTTTTGTTATTGCTGGTGGCAAAAGAAAAGACAGCAATGTTTGATTATCAAATAATGAACCAGATTTATTTGTAGCTTTCAGCATACTATTGTATGCCTGTCAAACATCTGAAGATAAGAGACCATTTGATGTTGTGTCACCTGGTGTATTGGGTGACAGAGGCTCCTGTAGAGGTTTGGTGAGGAGGTAAAAATGCTCACAGCCATGCAGGGGCACTGACACTTTAACTTCACTACTCTGGCCGAGCTCGTACGCCCACTGAAAGATCAGAAAACACCAATCAAAGGAGCGCAAGAGCACAACTGATCAAAATCTTTCACACTCCAAAAACAGCAGTATGTGTACAGAAGTATTTTTCAACCTGTCCAGCACAGTTGACGAAGTACTCGCATTCAATGGGGCCCCGGTCAGTCTCCACTCCTGTGACATGACCCTTCTCCACCAGAACATGATTCACGCTGGTTCTTTCATGGATCTGGACACCTAGGGTGAACATATTAAGATATGTGAAGGCAGAAAGTGCAAAAAGTCACTGGAAAAAGGTAGAGGGGCAGTTCCAAATGTAAAATAAATAAATAAATAAATAAATAAAAAACCAGGGCCACAAACCAAAAGTAATAGAAAAATCTTACCATGCCCTACTGCTGCCATAGCAAGCGCATGATTAACATCTGGTGCTGATACCACAGCATCTCTGGGGAGATGGAGAGCACCCACCAAATCATGAATGTTGACCAAGGGATGAAGCTTGGCAACTTCTTTGGGTTTGATGACATCACAGGCAATACCTAGTACCCTGTAAACCACCAAGAAAAAAAAAATGGCATAAACTTGGGTAGATAGGTCCTCCATTACCAGGGGCACTAAAGCAATTTACATAGTATGTTTAAAGACATTAGTTTGAAATCTCAAGAATAGACCCCTTAATCTTTTGTCCCCCTAATAAAGATATCATATACTAAGCATAATCAATTTCTTCAGGAATTTTTGACCACTCCAGTTATAAATTTTATGTAACTTCTGAAACAGCTGGAGATCATCTCTTTTATTACCTCTTTATTGCCTATTTACTTGTAGAAAACAAGAATGTGTAGCAGATCAAGGTTTTACAGAGCAGAGAACCGACTTACTTGAGCCTTGATGCTAAGCGCTTCAGGGAAATGAAACGGTCCTGATTCTGAGCCAAACACAGTGAGCCAGTCCTGACAAAACCTATAGAAAAAATACCCACAGTCACCCTAGTCTCATGTATTCTTAGGAGCTTAGCAGTTTTTTCCAAAGCCTGTAATTTGTAGACATGTAGTTTTCACACCTGTTTTGACGCCAGTCTCCTCCTCCAAACGCTCATAGAGCGCATTAGAGTAGTCTGCCATTTGGCTCTCAACAGAAATGGGTTTGGCAACGCTTACTATTCCTGCACTCAGCCGAGTTGTGCCAGCTCCAAGTCTATAACAGACAGAACCAAACAATGAACAATGGAGCTGTATTGAGACTGTGCTTCACTAAAAAAGGTTTATCTCTAAAAGACTTCAAATTATTACGAATTCCACAATCAGGAAGCTACACTTTGGTTCAAACAAATGCTCAAACATGTACCAGCCCCCTCAGTTAGTACATAAAGCAAACATGTTGCATATCTTTTTATAATACAGTGTAGGTTTTGTCAGACACTCACCTCCCCTGCTCTAGGAGCACTATCTCTGTCCAACCAAGCTTGGCAAGATGATAGGCAACAGATGTTCCAACAATGCCCCCACCACATATTACTACTCGGGCCTGGCTGGGTAGAGGTGTGGGGTGGCTGTCCTGAGCTGTGGCTAAAAGCCGGACTGAGGCCCACAGGACCTGGCGGTCCAGTCTGCGTCCACAGCATCTAGTGTCTGAGAAGAGCCGAGGGAGCAGGGCAGGCGAGAGAGCCCTAGAGCTCCACACACAGCTGTGCATGGCTCTTCCACCTTAAAAAACATAGACTGAGTTATAGACACCTACATTTATACACCTTAAAAGCAGAAAAAATAGTAGAAGCAACTTTAAGTAAAATGAGGCCTGTGTAAGGGGCTCCAGTCTAAGGGAATCCTACACTTCCTAAACAAATGAGAAGAGGATAAAGAAAATGGAGCCAGTGTGTTTTCCACCAATACCTTCAAATAAAGAAACACTGATAAATCAAAATGACATTGACTTCAGGAAAGGGTTCTAAGTCAATAAAGGTCTTCTAGTTAATCCAAGCATTGATTAAAACTGAACCTGAAAACACATACACCACTTACATTTATCTTCTACAGTACCAAACAGATAAAATAACTGGCAACTACTTATCAAGCTAAACAGACCAAATTTACAGAATCAAACATGGATTCTTAACACAAGTTTTTCAAATCTAGAGTCATTAGCTGCAAAGCACAGTCCACAGCACTGGACCCTCACGACACATACCCTTTATTTCGGGCCACTGATTCTTGTCCCAACTTCCGGTTTGACGCTTTGTCAACACCCATGACGAACGCTCTTCTTCTTTTCAGGTACAGTTCTCGTGTAACTCATTGTCTTGTTGTGATTAGTCCTCATGCAACTTAATATATTTGCAGATGCTTGTTTATTGCTAACTTCGTGTAACGAAACTATAGTGAGCAGAACTAAACACTTTATAGTTTTTCTTACTTCTGCACACCTCAGTCATTTTATGAAAAGCTTGCTGCTTTGCAACAGGTATGCTGAAGCAAAAAAATACACATGACGGTGTGGTGTTTGGGCCCTCCAGGACTGGAATTTTCACAGTGAGCGGTGTCTACGGACACAAAAATGACCTTGAACTTACTATTCTTTGCTCTAAAATGTTCAACACAGGACTGTTCTCAGTGTGATAATCTCAAGAATCCCTAGGACGCTCACATTTGTGCTCTGACACTTGACACAAAGAGGAACAAGTAGTGCAACAGGTGGAGCGACAGTGATAAACAACCCCTTCTCAGATCAGATCAGCTGTAACTAAAATGAAACACACTTAATTCTGGTGTTCTGTGTCTTCTGTAGACTCTGCAGTCACTTTAGTTGGGTCAGATGTGGTGATCTAGGTTTGGAGCAAGACCCAAGTAACTGAACAAGAACATAGGTGGAAAAATAAATACAAGATTCAGCTCATAAAACAATTTATTCAGCCGTTCTGGTGTATTAGCAGCGGTAAGCCCTGAACTGCGCTCACTGTGCTTATCTGGTAGGTTAATTCCGCGAAGGTTACCAGCTAACTGGAAATCGACATAAAAGAAGGCAACCAAAATAACCTCAGTAGATTTACACATTTAACCAAGTTAGTTGAGTATTGTTTCACTTACAGCCGCACACAGACTAATTCATTTCATAAAATAATGTAAGCTTTAACAGCATCTACCTTTGATGGCTTACAGTTTATTCGGGTGAATCACCAAGGTTAAAACTGACTAAATTACCTACCAAGTAAGTCAACTCGTTCATTCTGTAACGTTACACGGTTGACTAGCTACGTTAGCTAGCTAGCGTTATTTACAGCCAAAGCCATAAAGCTAATGTTGGGTTTATAAAGTTAACCTGCTTTCACGAAGCCAGTGGCAGCCGCTTACTTACCTGCTATACCCGCTCCACCTCCTGTCGAGAATGTTTACTTTTTAGCCGTGCTAGCCAGTCGCTAACTTCACTGGAAAGCAGATAACAGACCAGGGCTTCGGACTGCAACTCGGAGCTGAAGCCAGCTAGTTCGCTAACGTTACATATCTCGTAAGCTAGCTAGCTAACTTGCTAGCTCAGTGGCCTTTGCTGCTGCGGTCTGCTGATAGGCATTGCGACCCCTCTTCTTCTTTTGCTTTCCGGGGCAGACATGAGACACACAGCGCCGCTGTCTTTCTGCAGGAGGTTGCAGCAGAAGGTGAAGTCAAAATGCGCTTTTCTACATGGGCAGGAGCTGGTACACCTCGCAGCCTGTGCCTTCCAGGTCTGTAACACATTACACACTGTCTCAAGACCACCCTTTATGCACTTTTTCATTCACAGAGGAGTTCACAATTTGTGATATAAGAACTGAGGTAGTGAAGTCACTTCAAAACACTTAACAAATTCAAGGTAAAAAGGTGCTTTGTCCTTTACAGCCGCAAAAAATTGCTGGTCAATCGATGGAGTCCTCCTCACTCCATCTCAAGACAGCAATGAATTTTGTCTGCGCTTGATATTATTTCTTTGGCGTTTTCAGTTGCTTGGAAGAAGGCGCTATAATCAGTGAAATGTTTACTAGGCCGTTGCTGGAGTTATCTGTTTGTTTTGTACTTCAGGAGAAGTCCCGTTATTTAACCCACACATGTATCTATGTATGACCTTTTTTTTTTTTAATATACTGTCTGGAACACATCCTGGAGGGGGAGGTGGGGAGGAAAAGGGGATGTTATGTGTTCTTATGATTATATGTATGCCAACATATAAGTTAAAAGACAATAAAACAATTGTTCACAAAAAAGATAAAAAGGTGAAAATTAGCCAAACGTACTATGTGTAAAAGGCTACGTGTGTACATACAATGCTTTGGATTAATAACCTTTGTTTAAGGATAAATGTAAATAGCCTGAGCCAGGCCCAGCCCCTCCAACCTTTTTCTCACTATTATTTCCTGTTAGCCTATACTTTGGGCCAGGGCTGTCCAAAGCGTGGCCTACAGGCCAAAACTGACCCGTGAGGAAAAGTTAAACTAACCTCACCCCTCCACCCACAGAGAACAAACATATTTTCATAAATGTTCTAAAATTTATTTTATTGCACTTTGGCACCCATTCCAGACATATCTGGTAAGGCGTATGCTATTGCGTGTTGTTCAGTTGGGCAGACACCAAATTTTCCCTTTAGTGTTTGCCGTTGCAGTGAGTGGAAATGACATTACCTGTGGGGAAAAATGTATTCTGTGGGTAAAATATTTCAGTCAAAGCCACTGCAGAGAAAATCTGACATGATTTTATTTTTTTGAAATCCACTTTTCACATTTATGTGATTTTATATAACAAAATTCAGATTTGCTGTTTTTTTACTTTTTAAACTTTACACATTTGAATTCAAACTCCCTCGAGTGGCTGTGTTTGTAAAAGCGCAATGACATGTTAATATTTGTAGCACTTTACTAAAACATTGGAAAAAATACTCATGGAAATGTCTGAAAGGACACCTATCGTTTTCCCCCTGAGGTACACTTTTGACATTGTGTGTGTTTATATAGAAAAATGAATTAAATTAATTAGTCAATTTAATTAATTACATGGTCATTTTCCTTAAACAGGCTGTTTTTGTCACTGTGCCTTTAAGACAGATATATGTATATTACCTCTAAACTGATTGGATGCCCTGTACTGTGCCCATTTCAAAAAGCTCTGACTTCTGAAACGCTCTTTATAACTTCAGTGTGAGTAGATGGAGCGAAACTGCTGTAGACAGAATTGACTTTCATATATGTAAGTTCCCTTATGTGTAAAGGGGAGTGAACAGCATGTTTTGAAACTTTAACAATGTTTACATACTACATCTTACACTTTTTTATTTCAAGAAAGTAAGAAAAAATCAGTTTTTCCCAGGATATGAGACCTCTAATGCATGCTAGTAATGGATATAATGTGTGCAGAGGCACACCTCATACACTTACTAGTATTTTAGTGAAAGGGGGTGTGTTAGTCTTTCTCACCTGTAGGGTGAGCTATAGAGCTGTGTTATTGCATGCTGTATTAGCTCTGTGAGTGACTGTAGAATGAAAAGCTGGGCATCTGGATGTCTGATTTTTTTGTTTTACCACAAGCCATTTTATTTTTATCCCTCCAATCTATAAATGTTTTGATTAATTGCATGATTTTGAATATGAATGGTTTCCCATGTCCTTCTGTATTTTGGTCTACTCCACCTTGAAAAAGCAATAGTAAGGTTGTCCACAGGTGGTAAGATGAGGGGTATTTTACAGGGGCATAAACTCTAATGTTTATAATAGTTGGCATAACTTCTTAACTTCATTGAATCCTATCTTAAGAGTAGAAACTGGGAAATCTGTGTATATAATGCCTATGATGCCTATGAAGATCTCAGGATGATGTACCAGACCACATAATAACTAAACTAAGCCTATGTGAGAACTAAAAAAGCGCCACCACGAAGAGACAGTAAAACTGCTCCAACTGTTTTTGTTGTTAGTCAGACATAGTTAATGCTGGCTACCTGTTAGATGTGTCCCTTGGCCTTTAAATGTCATTGATTTTCTTACCCTGCTGCCTGTTCTGGGGTGCCACTTAACAAGCATTCATTATAAACTCATGAGTCAGAGCCACAGCAGGGAGACTAATTAACTAAACTTTAAGCCACAATCAAAAATCCCTGCAACTGCTTAGGCCAGTTTTTTCTCCACATCACCAACAAAGGCTTTCAATAACAATACACCCACCGCATTATGTAATGTAGCATTTGCTGAGGCACTGATTCAGCACTTCATTATAGGGACTGTTTGTGACCACATGTATATGACATGCTGAGTGCTGTCTGATCTTGTGTTGTGGATGGAAGGTGTGGCCTTTTTCTTCTGTTTCAGGGGCAGATGATTTCTGTCAGAATAAGTCAAATTTGCATCCTAAGCAGTACAAGTTTCTTTCCATTCCACACTAGCCTATAGTTTCACCCCTTTATTTTAGCTTAAAGGCCACTGTGATAAGGTTAAGGGCCAGTAAATAGGACCAACATTAAATACACATTTAAATGGGAATACCACTGATTTTTCAAAAGCTCTGAATAATAACAAAACAGTCATTCAGAGTGTTTTGATGTGAAATGAGAAACTTACTGACTCTTTACATTAGTGGCGATAGGAATCAGGGGTTGAGAAGTTAACAATGTAAAAATAGCCATTTTGTTGCTATCCAAAATGACCACTGAACCTGAATGTGTCCTCCGAGTTTTTGTATGTAATGCTAAAAATGGTAAAACAGTGGTAAATCTGGGAAAAATATTTTTTTAACTACCGTTTTGCCATAGAACACTCTGCATGTACCTACACCAAGCTTCAATTTTTTATTACAATTTAGGCCAAAAACTTATCTAAAACTATCATAAAACAATGGATGAGGCATCATGCAATGTATTTATTACCATTTCATGTGATAGCTTTCTGTGAAGGAGCTTTTAGAGGCTGATTCCTGTCACCACCACTGTGAAAAATTCTGACTTGGTAAGTTTCTCTAAAATGGCACATTTCATCAAACCACTCTGAATGACTTTACTTACACTTAAAGGTTTAATAAATTTAGTTATGCAGAACATTTAAAAATAGGTGGAATTTCCATTAAAATAGATGAACACAAAATATATTGCTGTTGTTGGAAGAAAACCTCGTATCTCCAAAATGATATCTTTTCAGGAAAAGGAAAAAACCTATTTTACTTTTAATGTAAGTCAAGGGAACCAGACTTTTTCCCCCAAGTCATTTTGGGCTGTTTCTTTTGGTCCACTCTTCATGAAATGTACACACAAGGTAAAGGGCAACGAACATTCTCAAATTATGTCAAAAACTGAAAAACTACAAAAATGGAGATAAAAGGTTTTGTTCTGACAGAGAATTTGACAACAGCAATCCACAAGCTGTCCATGTATTTGCTCAAAATATCTGATTACACAGGGCTCTTTGTAGTATTTTACTTAGCATATTCTGTTTGTCTTTTTTTGTCTTACTGCTGAGCAAGCACTCCTTGTCCTGAAGCAGCGAGACCAAGTTTTACTTGGTGAGAATTCTGATTAGTCTTTGATGCTTGAATCACATTTTGCTTTTGCTGGTGGATGAGATATGTGCTTGATGGTGTAACCATGGTGATCACTCACCCGCTCAGTAAACTCACTGTGAGTGCACTCGGGAAATTCACTCTTATCTGCTATTAAAGTGCTCTTAGCAGAACAGAGCAAAGCACAGAGTGTTAAGATTTTAAAATGTATGAATGACAGATATATGACAAATAAGTTCTCCTGGAATTGCTTTATCAGTTTGATTGTATTTAACATGTTTAAAGACATGTTCAAGTTGACTGAAAAGTGACAGATAAATTTAGCCAGCTTTCTTTAAAGACTGCTACTTGATGTAAACAATTTGGATTAATTCAACAATCCTAATCTTCCAGCCAGAGCACTAGAAATAACTGTTCAGTCACATTCATATGGAAATATGATGACAAAAAGAAGACACAGGTTTCTTAAAACAGTAAAGCTTCTCGGTAGCCAGTAAGGGGCAGTCGTGGGCTGGAGGTTAGGGAACCAGCCTTGTGAACGGAAGGTCGCCGGTTCGGTTCAGCTGACAGTACATGACTGAAGTGCCCTTGAGCAAGGCACCTAACCCCCAGTTGCTCCCCGGGCGCCGTGGGTAGGGCTGCCCACCGCTCCGGGCAAGTGTGCCCACTGCCCCCTAGTGTGTGTGTTCACTAGTGTGCATGTATGTGGGTGTTTCACTGCACGGATGGGTTAAATGCGGAGGTCTAATTCCTCTGTGTAGGCTAATGGTTCTGAATTCATTCACTGAAGTCAACCAAGTAAAAATTGACTTTTTTTGCCTTGTTAGTTTATGTCCCTGATCATATTAAGCACAATTATATTTATATAATATATATATATATATATATGTATATATATGTATGTATGTAATATTTATATTATACTATTTAAAGGACAAAATTCTTGTTTTCCTGTAATATTCAATCAAAATGTCATTATTTTTGCCCACCTCAAAAATGTCTTCTGATTTTAAGTTACATCACTGTACACTAGCAGGCAGTGAAAATAATATTAACCAATAAAATCACACCCCCCCCCCACCACCACCCGCATAT